TTGCAGACTGAGATTTGACTTACAGACCAGAAAAAAATCAAAATGGAACAAAAACGGCCTGTTACGGGATTAATCGGTTTTCAATGCACTGTAGGTCAATGGAGACTTGACTTACAGACTTTTTGACTTGAGAACCGCCTTCCAATACGGATTAAGTTCTCAAGTCAAGACCCCACTGTATGGGGGTCCTTCTGTACACTTTTATTTACTGATATATTGATTTACAGCGTAAGATGACCTATTAATATAGCAGCAGTCGTCAAATGTGTATCCACATTAAACTATTCACAGACTCCTTTTGTACATTTACCTCTATTAGAACCCACTGTATTTTGAGACGGTGGAAGTAAAATTAGGTGAAAAATTAAGGAATGTTTTGCCAGTATTGCAAAGATAACAGTTGAAGCTACCTAACAAACCTGAAACTGTTATATGAGATGAAAGTTATGTTATATGAGATGAAAGGTACAGGTAGTCTTTTAAAGATGAAAGACAGCTTAAGTAGAACAAAACTGTGCAGGTTTAATGTGGCACATTCAATGCCACATTTATCTAACAGCATTTTTAAAAAAATACATTTCATAACATACATTTGATCATAATTCAAATAAATGATCCATTCTGGGATTAAATACACAAGGCTCATATATCCTAAGATGGTGAGCATAACTCTGATGAAGGGCCATACCTTGGTGCCAGAGCATGTAGGAGATTCTTGGTTCAATGCCCAGCATTTTCAGATAGAGCAAGAGGAGTCTACAAGCTCAAAAGAGTTCCTACCAGCTATCAAAGACAACAGTGAGCTAGATCAGGTGGTTCTTAAACTAGGGTCCCCAGATGTTCTTGGACTGCAGTTCCTAGAAGCTTTCACCACTAGTTGTGCTGGCCAAGATTTCTGGGAGTTGGAGTCCAAGAACATCTGGGGACCCAAGTTTGAGAAGCAATGTGCTACATGGATAATGGTCTAATACATTGGTTTCCTACCTTGGGTAACCCAGGTGTTCTTGGACTGCAACTCTCAGAAGCCATCACAATCAGCTGTGCTAGCTGGGGTTTCTGGGAGTTACAGTCAAAAAACACCTGGGTTACCCAAGGTTGGAACTACTGGTCTAATACAATGTAAATCTTGGATAGGGGAAGATTCTCTTTTTATTGACCACCAATTTTCTTTCTTTTATTTCAGGCAATAACATCAACAGGAGAGTGATACATATTTCTATTACATTGATCTGGCTATATGCAGTACTTTGGGCCATTCTGCCTTTGCTAGGTTGGGGGCATTATGGCCCGGAACCCTTTGGCACTTCTTGTACTATATCATGGGGCCAGTTCTACAAATCTTCCAATGGCTTTTCCTTCATCCTGAGCATGTTTATTTTCTGCACTATTCTGCCAGCAATGACCATCCTCTTCTGTTATTTGAGTATAGCCTGGAAGCTTCATAAAACCTATCAAGAAATGCAGAACTTCAAGAGGATTTCAAATGCAACAAAGCTGGAGAAGAAATTGACACTGGTAGGTAACTGCTTTGGTAGCTATGATGATAGGGAAAATGATAAGGAGCTTCATCCTTGGTAGCTATGATGATAGGGAAAATGATAAGGAGCTTCATCCTTGTTGGTGCACCTGTGGACATCAAACGTGTACCCACAACTTGCCATTTTAAAAGTCAAAATGGTGGACAAACCTTCAACACATATGTAAAGGTGATGGTTTCGACTTTTAATGGTCTTTGAATGTTTTATCATTTGGGTACACTTGAGTTTCATGTTACTTCTTTCAGCCATGTAAGGATTCCTGAAAGATCTGCACATGTTCACACCCTCTGGAAACTGGTAGTATGAAATGATCCATACATATTGATAGCTAACATTGACGTGATTTTACACTGTACAAGTTTTAGAACATGTGAGTTCTTTGATGAAGCATGTTCTATGCATTTTTCTGTTCCAATAGGTACCAAAGATCTTGTATAGAAGAACTGTTAAGTGAAAGGATATGAATTAGGTCACAATCTTTTAAAATATAATATTATTAATATCTAATAACATAATGGTCGAAATCCTGTCTAGACAGCTATGCTGCATAAGGTTGATGACATCATCAGTCATGGCGATTGTTTGGAGATGAAAAATCTTCCCACCCACGCTGCAAATGTTCTGAAGTTCCTATGGAATCTCTTTCATCATGGGGAAGCCACTGGGAGCCAAGAGATAGAGGGGAGTCTTTTATTTTCAAATGCTGCAGCCAGTAAAATCATCCTGCTGACAGCGATTTTCAGAAATCAAAAACTCAAGGTCCCTGTCCCATGGCTCCTAATGGCTTCCCATTAGGAATGGGGTTCTATGGGAACCTTCAGGGAGTTGGTGGGAAATTTTTTATTTCCCAAAAATTGACATGGCTGATTTGGTATAGTTTATGGAATAGGATTTCAGCTAAAATGAATTGTTCTGATCCTAAATTCTCATACATTATTCTATACTACTAAAGAGTTTCTATTTTTAGGCTTCAGAAGATTTTTATTTTGCTGTTACAGTGAACAAATACTACAGTTTATTTTCATGGAAAGAATCAAATGAAGAACACTATAAAAGCCAATCTTTTAAGTACTTCTTACATATTAAGAAATTAATGCAATTAATGTCTTCATAGATATGAAAAGATCAATGGAGAGCTCAATGAAAAAAATTAAGGAGAGTGAATTACTATATATGATTGCTTTCTCTTTGCAGATGGCTGTGTTGATCAGTGTAGGATTCCTTGGCGCATGGACACCATATGCTGCTGTTAGCTTTTGGTCAATATTCCACTCCAGTGAGTCATTACCCCAGGTTGTTACTTTACTGCCATGTCTCTTTGCTAAATCATCAACAGCCTACAACCCTTTCATTTACTACACCTTCAGCAAAACATTCCGACAAGAAGTTAAGCAGCTTCAGTGCTGCTGTGGTGAAAAAGTTCACTTCCTTAACACCAAGAACTCCATCAATAATCATGTATCAGTAATGTGGCCGGACAGGGGCAATATACATATTTCATCCGTCAGAAAGATAGTCAGTGGAGAAGGCCCAAACCAATAAGCAACAAGAACACCGCCCGTTAAAGCTGTGCAAAGAGGATCTTTGTTATGTTATGCTCAGCATTCCAGTAAAGAGTCTGAACAATAACTTTTTAAAAAATCTAGTCAGCAAGAAACATCTTAAAGACCAAAACTGTGTTTGGAAGAATCATCACCTGACAACGGAATAATGGATTTGAGAAAACTGAACTACAGTTTATTCTTTTGTTTTGACTTATATGTTAGCATGTGTGTTGGAACCACTAGCCATGTTACAAAACCGGCCCAAAACATCCGTTAAGTTGCTGAGACATCTGTAGAATAAGAGCCAAAAAAGAGACAGACTCCCAATGTTTATTGATTGTTGAACCTCCTTCATCTCAGAAGCATGAGTGGCATGCGCCTAAGGTTACAGGAATTTAGCTCCAGGATTGTCATAAGAAACTTTAAAATAACTTATCCATAGAAATCAGATGCTACACACATTTAAAATGAAGAAAAAACAGTACTCTGCTAGCGGGCTACATGTTTTTGGTGGGTGGCGTTTGCTTCAGATACAATAATCCCGGAAGAGGGGAAAAGCCACATGCTTCCCCAAAAACCAGGCACCTGGAAGGTAAATGTCAGGTTAGCGTGCACTCACCTACATCTGCTCTTTAGCTTTCCAAGCCAAAGTAGTAGTTCTCTATTTCAACCTTTCTCTTGATTGATACAGAAAAAGTTTTTACCCAATATAGGTGAGGACTAATACAAGGACTGAATTCTTACTCATTCAAAAAGAAGTTACCGCCCTGTGTACTAATATATCAGCTTTTCAATGCATATATAGGAAGCTGAATGAGTGAAGCATTAATCCATTCATACTTCTAAATGGCGCATCTTCAACAGAAGGGAAGTGAGAGGAATGATTTTGGGAAGAGTTTGTCGAAGAGAGACTCCAATAAACGCAGGGTAATTACATGCCTGTGCACATGTAGACAAGTTTGAACAAGCAGTGTTTTGAAATGAGGGCTTAGGCCAGAGGAGGGCACCTTCCAGAAGTACACATTTTAGAGGGCTATACCAAGTCCCATGTTCTACCCCACTTCAAATAGTTTTCTTTTAAAGGAGTTTTTAAAAATGAAAAAGCCCCTTTATGTCATCTAGTCATCAAATTTTAAATCTGCAAAATGTTTGGGACATGAGAAGATAAGGTTGCTGCTCCCTCCCATGGCAAAACTGCCTCCCATACCTTTATGAGCACAATGGAATCTTTTGAGTCATTTTTCCTTTTTAATGTGTGGCAGCTGCATTTGAGAACTCATGTTTTAGACCTAAAATGATACTAGCTGGACCATATTTTTGGTGACATTGACAATAGTATTACAAATATCTTCTTCTCCAGATGGAGGCTGGGTGTTCTCACATTTATTTTGGCTTTGGATGCAGGTGGTCTGAATAAGGACCTTGTGTTGCATCCAGACCAATCCACAAATTCTTCAGTCCATGGTGTTATTATTCACTTTTAAAGTGTGTGGCAACTATAATAATCTGTCTACATTTGAGTGTTCTATGAAAATACCTAACACAGCACCCTTTATATTTCATGGGCTTTGGGCATTTGTTTCCTCCACCACCATTCCAAATTTGTGTTTATTTGTGTGATCTGCCCTGAGGTTTTGTGCATCTGAAGTGGCTTTTGTTTCTAGCATAATAAATTAATTTTTTTAAGTGCCATGTTTTTATTGTGTGTGTTCCTTGCCGTTAAGTAGGAACCAACTTATAGCAACCCTAATAGGACTTTCAAGGTGAGCTATTTAAAGAGTGGTTTTACTAGGTCCACACCCCCAGTGAGTTTCCATAAGTGGGATTTGAACCCTGTCCTAGTCCATCACTTTATCCACTACACCACATAGGGATGCCCCTTACTATTACTACAACAGATTAATACAATTGTCCCTCTGAACAATGTGAATACCAAAGGCTTCATCTTGAACTAAAACTGTATGTGTCAGAAATGTCCTATGTATTTTATCCTCGCTTTAAATATCTATTTAATGCTCTATATATTTTAAATGTTTAGAGGACTGATCTTCATCTGTGTATTTCCTGAAATTTACAACATCAAATCCTGTGGTAGGTGGGAGAAAAGAAAGGAAAATAAGAGGTCAGATAGTCTTTTATTTAGTTGGTTTAGCCTTTGAAACAGTGGAGAAGCTTCAGACCTCTATATGCCATCAGTACACTGGTAAATGCTTTATAATATGATGTGCTAAAAGCATTTCCACACCCCTCATACTTATCACTAAAATACAGTTTTCATAAAAATGGTTTTTAATGTCTTCTCACTTCCCACTCCTGTTTTCTCAGGTCAAGATTAGTGAGTTCACAGAACACTGAGTCACTGTCCATACCTCCCTGAAGGCCATGAACCTCACACTTTTCGAGAACCATGCTCATAGAAGACTTAACATTGGTTCAATATGAAAAAGCTGTGTGAGCAGGACTCCAACCATAGTGTTTGATTGTGCTTACTTCCCAGTAAGAACGTTCAGGATTGTATCACAAGAGATTCAGATCAGAAGAAATGTGGACATTCTATTGGAAAAGAGAAGGCATATGGTTTAAGCAGAGGGTCCCTCTTTTCTTTCTATTGGTATTTAACTGGGTTCAATATACTATTTATATTATCAATAACTGCAGATCTGTAAGGGACTCTATGGATCATCATGTCCATGCCCTGTCGAGGAGGCACAGTGGGGAACCAAACTCCCAATCTCTGACTTCTCAGCCAGAGACCTAAACCACTGAGTTATCTAACAGTTTTGTCTTTTTGTTTGAAATTTGTTAATTTATTGTATTATCTGTTTTCACTCATGGTTTAAATAAATACTGAACTGAATCCTTGGAAGAACCTGGACAGGAGAAGGCAGACGATTTTTTGCTGAGTCGCCCATTCTCCATGCACCTCACACTCCATTTGAGGGGATTCCCCAACCTTTATAGCTATTTCTGGGGAATATAAGGAGCTATGTGGAAGGGGGAACTGGCAAAGGTTGCCTCTTTTACCATATGTATGAAGATCTTCTCAGTGGAACTCTAGTCACCAGACGCTTCCATTGTTGCATGCAAATTCTTGATTTGAAAACATTATCTACTATTGTGATACCATATTTGTCAATAGATAAGCAAAGCCTGTGACCCATCAGAGAAATCCCTGGAAGGAAATCAATCAAAAGGGCTTTAGACATATCATATGCAAATCCATTCAAGCAGTAAGTCTCTTTTTTAAACCTAAGAGATCAAGTCCCAAGTAAATCTGCATAAATCAAGATCAAGCAGAAGATTCAAATCCACTACAGAGTCTAAAATTGATGGTAAAGCAGAATATATTATCAGGGAAATATGGAAAAAAAACCTATTTTGTGCCCCCACCCCTCCCCCAAAAGAAAAACCTTAATGGATCACTGAAGAATCTCTTGATTCTGAGAAGCTAAAATAAGAGGTGACAAAAAATAGATCAGAAACCTAAGTGCAACTTTACATTGACTGGCTTATAAGGAAATGAGAATTATTACATTAATCAGTGCAGAACAGCAAATGAGGAAAAACAAGAGTATATCCAGAATATACAAGAAATCAAAGAGATTTTTAAACATAAGATAGGCATGTTGAACGACCAACAGGTCCTTATATTCAACAGGGGAATATATTCCAAAAGGGGAATATATTATCTGATCAAGATAAAACACAGGGAAACAGATACAACATATTGAAGAAATATACAGAAGATATGTAAGGATGATAGATTCTTTTGAAGAAAAATTATGTGATGAAGAACATGCAAGTCTCTCTGAAAGAAATAGGAACAGATCAGAACAGATGGAAACGGTTTTAAGCTACACAGGTTGAATCTATGAAGTACTAATGAGAATATGACAAGAAATGTGAAAATCAAAACAATGGGTCACAGCCAGGAACTAATCAAAGAAAGAGGATGTCAAGGACTGCAATAATTACAGGGCCATTACACAAAATATTAATTTTCCATGTAAAGAAAACATATCAAGTGAAAAATGTCAAATGTGGATGCTGCCTTCGGAAAGTAGAGATCACATTGTAAATACATGTTGGCAAACTGGGGCATACTAAAGAATTTCACCAGAAAATCAGTTTTGAACATTCCAAGTTACAGATCTGTCTTCATGTGTGGATCATGAAAACCTATGGGTTGTTCTGAAAGAATTGGATGTGCTACATTTGATTTTCTTGATATGGAACCTACAGTATATCAGGGAATACAGGCATTAAAGTCTAAACTGCTGGCAACAAAAGTGAGTACACCCCTAAGTGACAATGTCCAAATTGGGCACAAAGTGTCAATATTTAGTGTGGCCACAATCATTTTCCAGCACTGCCTTAACCCTCTTGGGCATAGAGATCACCAGAGCGTCACAGGTTGCCACTGGAGTCCTCTTCCACTCCTCCATGACATCACAGAGATGGTGGATGATACGAGACCTTGCGCATCTCCACCTTCCATTTCAGGATGCCCCACAGATGCTCAATAGGGTTTAGGTCTGGAGACATGCTTGGCCAGTCCATCACCTTTACCCTCAGCTTCTTTAGCAAGGCAGTGGTCCTTTGGGAGGTGTGTTTGGGGTCGTTATCATGTTGGAATACTGCCCTGCGGCCCAGTCTACGAAGGGAGGGGATCGTGCTTTGCTTCAGTATGTCACAGTACATGTTGGCATTCATGGTTCCCTCAATGAACTGTAGCTCCTCAGTGCCAGCAGTACTCATGCAGCCCCAGACCATGACACTCCCATGCTTGACTGTAGGCATGACGCACTTGTCTTCGTACTCCTCACCTGGTTGCTGCCACACACACTTGACACCATCTGAACCAAGTAAGTTTATCTCCAGAAATCCATGTCCTTAGTCTGCTTGTCTGCAGCAAACTGTATGTGGGCTTTCTTGTGCATCATCTTTAGAAGAGGTTACCATCTGGGATGACAGCCCTGGAGACCAATTTGATGCAATATGCAGCGTATGGTCTGAGCACTGAGAGGCTGACCCCCACCCACCCCTTCAACCTCTGCAGCAAATCTGGCAGCACTCATGCATCCATTTCCCAAAGCCAACCTCTGGATATGAATGACGCTGAGCATGGGCCCTCAACTTCTTTGGTCGACCATGGCAAGGCCTGTTCTGAGTAGATCCTGTCCTGTTAAACTGCTGCATGGTCTTGGCCACCGTGCCGCAGCTCAGTTTCAGGGTTTGGGCAATCTTATAGGCCATCTTTATGTAGAGCAACAATTCATTTTTTCAAATAGTTCATTACCATGAGGTGCCATGTGGAACTTCCAGTGACCAGTCTGAGAAAGAAAGAGTGGTAACACCTGCTCCCCCTTCACACCTGAGACTTGTGACACTAACAGGTCCCATGACACCAGGGAGGGAAAATGGCTACTTGGGCCCAATTTGGACATTGTCACTTAGGGGTGTTACTCACTTTTGTTGGCAGCAGTTTAGACTCTAATGGCTGTGTGTATTGTTATTTTGAGGGATGGCACATTTACACTGTTATACAAGCTGTATACTCACTGCTTTACATTGTAGCCAAGTGTCATTTCTTCAGTGTTGTCACATGAAAAAATATACCAAAATATTTATGAAATGTGAAGGGCTATACTCACTTCTGTGATATACTGTATATTCTTGACAAGATGACATAAACAGCACACTTTACTGTTTTGACAAAATATGGTGTAGTATTGTTCTTGTGGCTACTAGGCTATGTATTGTGTGCTCAGTGGGAAGGTGAGACATTACAGAAATTCTTCCATTTCTCTGAGAAGATAAGTACCATCTGTAGCTGGATGAAATGGCCAGAGATATGCTAACTGTATGTGAAATCTGCATCACACCAGCTCTGTTAATACCAATGGAGCTTCTCCTGCCAATGTATGCTGAATTACAACATATTGCACACTAAGTTCAGCACACAAAGTCAAATGAAACTTTACTTTTTTGATGTTTTTGATTCTAAGAATTAAAGCCAAAATTGTTAATATTGACTTCACTCTCTTTTTAATAACAGCAGTCTTTATTTTGAAATTTGATTTGCATTTTAAAGATACAAAGTACATTAAAAAGTATTCAGATACACTTATAACCTGTTTTACAATTTGCCCATGTATCTTATTGAACATTTTTTACAAGGCCAGTTGAATCTTTTTTTCCCACATATGTAACATTGGAGAGATTTTTTTGTACTTTCCCAGAAAGCATAACACAACATCAGTCATTGTAGCTGATTTAATAAAGTTTACAATCCTGTAGCTACTGATCACAGTGCATCAAAACGTATTGAGGTTTACCATGACCTGTTAGATGAAAGTGATTTACAGTGACTGCTGTCTCTTATCCAGGTTTTTTTCAACTTCATCAAGAACTTCAACAGCTGCTTTTGGGATTCGGGTTCCTGGGCCAAATATATTGGAAACTCCACAGTTGTAGAGGAACTCATAATCCTAATCAGAAATTTAAAAAAAAGACACAAAATATTCAAACTTTCCTATGTGAACTTGTAGAGAACACACACTGTGAGACTTGATTTTTCTAATGGCAGGGTCATGAGGCGACAGAGAAAAAGGAAGAGGGAAACAACACAATGGACTGACAGTGGGCCATAACATCAATTCAAATCTCACTGTGTTCACACAGCCCTGGTGAGGTGGACTGTTTTAAGATCTGGGGTGGGGGATCTTCAGTCACTTCTTATAGAAACTATATTACTGAAAACAATCGAATAATATGATACAGTGGATGTTATTAGCTACCACAACATCACTAAGAACTGCAGCTCTGCACAGACCTTTTGCCAAGTGAAATAATTATTCCAAACTCATTGCTTCCAAAATTTAAAAGCCAAAGACTAAAAAATACTTTTGCTCAATTTCCATTCATCAATTTAATTTAAATTGGCTCTTTTCTTAATGTCTTAAACTGTGTTAAGAATATTTTAAAATGAAGAAGTATATTTTTACAGATGTACAAGAAATATAATTATGTTTGTTTACAGTTTTTACAGATAATGAAAAAGTACAATTATTTATTCTTACAATGGGAGACTAAGAACATAGCTATAAAATATTACTTTGATGATTTCCTTTAAACTACTTTAGGAAGGAGCTTTACAATTGGGTTATTCTCTGAGCTTCTGTAGTGTTAACTACACACTCTCAGGTTTGTGAACGATTTCACAAATTTCAACAGATTTTATGCAAAATCTACTTTAGAATGTTACCTTTCTTATGGGTAGGTCTGTGTGTATGTGAAGAAACCCATCCTCTTTCCCAAAGGAACAACTGAGTCATCCCAAAACAACCCACTATTTCTGGATTGGCAATAAATGTTGGACAGTACCTGAGGTGGAATGACACCTCCACATAAGACAAGAATGTCAGGCCGGCCAAGGGCATTCAGCTCCTTGATGAGTTCAGGCACAAGTGTTTTGTGACCAGCAGCTAGCGTACTCACACCTATACAATGAACATCAGCATCTACAGCCTGCTGGGCTACTTCACGTGGTGTCTAAGCAGAGAAAGCAAACACAGTCCCAAAGGATACAGAAAAAGAAGAAAAAACAACATATTTTTGTTCAATGAACAAATCAATGAAAATCAATCAACAATGAACAAACAATTGCTTCATTTTCCGTTGAAAAGAGCAAAAGCAAAAACACTTCACACCTCTTCTTGATATATGCCACTTCTGCTGCCTCTAGTATTTCTGTTAATACTGAAATTATTAGTATTAACTAATACTATCCAAGGGGATGGAGGTCTAGACATTCAGTTTTGAACACAGCATGAACACAAGAGTAACAACCTATCTGCCTAGTCACATGGTCTTCTCACCTTAGGGACTCTGTACAACTGTATCAGCAAAATATACAGTGATTATCACATTTAGCTTTGGTAGCAAATTGAAGGAATAACTATGTATTTATGTCAACAGCAGATTTAGCTTTTTCTATCATAGTGGTATTTTCAAATGGGTAAAATATACAGACTTTAAGATCACCAGCTAAAGATCTGCTCACTCCCTGTCTGGTCTGAGATTCATCAGATGCTGGTGAGGTATTTTAAGTCTTTATATATCTACAGTACCTGATGCTGAGAATCAGTTCATTTGCTATTTTAAAGGCATTTGTTGGCCCCCTCCTGCTTAATGAACCATAAGGTGAACAAGCAGCAGGCACATTTATGCAACCTGTTTGATCTCATTGCCATTTCAGATGTTTAGGATGATACCATTATTATAGATATGTCTCTGTATATGTGGTTAAATAAAATGGGTAATTACAGCTACACAGCATTAGTCGGATTACAGTTTGTTTCCAAACAATCCAGACCTGCAAGGCACCTTTACACCAGAGTTCATTGTCCTGGCTTGTTTCAGTGCAATAAACCATAATCCAAAATTTGGATGTCACACAGAAGTGTCCTTATTCTAGTTTGTTAATTCAGCTGTGTGAAGGGAAAGTTGCAGAGGGAACATATGGGTCGCGTGCCACAATACACTGTTTGTTCAAATTCTGATTTGTTAGGCTGTAAATTGCAGTTTAAATTAATATGTGAATGTGGACAATGTCATGAAAGTTACACAGATAAGGATTCAGGAGAATGAGGTTCAGAACACAAGTAGAGATGGGCACTTATCACGGTTTGGTGTTTTGGCAGGTCGTCCCCACAGGTGTTGTGTGGGCACCCCAGATTCTGCTCACAGTCTCCTCCCACAGGTGCCCTGTCGGAAACAGCCCTGCCACATCTGTTCCTCAGAGTGGGTGCTCCCTGGAGGAGGTGGGGTGCAAAATTTAAAGTGCCCATGCAACATTTTTTGGCCTGATCTGCCAAACCGGTAAGTGCCCATCTCTAAACATGAGTCATGAACACAACATGGAGTCCAATATTGCCATTTGTTTTAAAACAAAAAAGATGAGAGTATCTGCAGAATACAGTGGTGCCTTGACTTACGAACTTAATCCGTTTCAGAATGATGGTCATAACTCGAAATGGTCATAAATAGAAGCACCATTTCCCATAGGAATGCACTGAAAGCCCGTTAATCTGTTTCGGCTGAAATCCCCCCCCCCAAAAAAACAATGCAAGTCCCACTGGAACACATCGGGGCCAGAAAAAAAATCACAAAAACCCCACAACAACAGCACAGCAAGCCCCATCAGAATGCGCTGGGGCAAAAAAGAAAAATAAATCATCAACAAACAAACAAACCCCCAAACCCCCAAACCAAACAAACAAAACCCAGAGAAAGCCCCACTGGAATGCGCTGGGGCCAAAAAAATTACCAAAAAACAACACAAAAAACAACACAGTAAGCCCCATCAGAACACACTGGGGCTGGGAAAAAAAAATCACCACCACCACAACAAAAACACAGAAAGCCCCATCAGGATGCACTGGGGCTACAAAAAAAAATCACCAAAACAGCACAGCAAGCCCCATTGGAACGCACTGGGGCCGAAAAAGAAAAATTACAAAAACCAAAAAAGAAGAAAAAAACAAAACAAAACCACAACATAGCAAGCCCCATCGGAATGTGCTGGGGCTAAAAAAAGTACACACAAAAACAAAACCCAACAACACAGCAAGCCTCACTGGAACGCACTGGGGCTGAAAAAAAATAGCCCAAACCAACACAAACAAACAAACCAAGCTCCATTGGAACACGTTGGGGCTGGGGCAAAAATCACTAGACAACAACAACAACAACAACAACAACAACAACAACAACAACAACAAAAACAACAACAACAACAACAACAACAACAACACAGCAAGCCCCATTGGAAGGCACTGGGGCTGAAAAAACAAACACACCAAAACACAAAATAACATCACAGCACAGAAACATAACCCCGTCCAGCCTAAACCCACACTGCAAAACCCTGTATACACTTGCTCAGAAGCAGAAAGCAGCACCAGGCAGTCCGAAGCCTCTCTGCAAATGCACACACTCTAACCGTTGGGGCAAAAGAGCTACAAAGAAGCACCCTGTTCCCCAACCAATGGTTAGTAATTTAAATTCTCCGCCTTTCCCCCCACCTTTTTTCTGATCATAACTTGAAGCTCCAGTCGCAAGTAGAAGCAAAATTTTACGGCCGGAGTTGGTCGTAACATGAAATGGTCGTAAGTCGGGACGTTCGTAAGTCGAGGCACCACTGTATCTAATATTAATTCTGCACCAAAGCAGCACAATTAGCAATAGATGAAATAAGCATACAGCATCTAGTGCAATTGCAATAGATGATCCTATGGTAGACTATACTTGTCTTTCTCCAATTGTATTAACTACAGGTGAAAAAAATATGTTATTTTAAAGAAAACATTTATGAAAAACATGGACTTTGTAAGCAAAATCTTGATGAACCAACACTTGCAATTTAAATATCAAAATAAGGCAACATGAGCATCTGGTTGAAAATACCTGGAACAAAGGGCCTATATCCACATCAAAACCAAGGTCAGCAAATCCTGTAGCAACCACTTTGGCTCCTCTGTCATGCCCATCTTGGCCCATTTTAGCAACAAGAATACGTGGTCTACGACCTTCACGTTCCATAAACATGTCAATTCTGTGTTTCAAAAATATTGAGAAATATTTTTTTCTGGAAACAGCAGGTAATGAGTACCATCATGAAAGGGCACCTTGCTAGTTGTCACTATGAGAAAAAATGATCTTCTATTTTTAAAGATCTCACAATGGTCTGAATTTTGCAAACAATATGATTCTTTAGTAACTGACTTTACATTTATGGCAGTTTACAATCACATTGATTCACGTGCACTCACATGAACATACAAACTTACTTCTCTCTTTAAACTGGAAAAAGCAAACAAAAGGAACTGGTGACATTGAATAGATCCAATTATAAAGAGATATATCTCAGGATATGCAAGAATATCCATTATTACAGTTTAGAACCTGCCCAACAGTAGCCCAGTGAAACAGGTCAAAAAAGATATTCTATATATACCACAAACTATTGCCCCTGAAGAAGGTCATAAATTGATTGGGCTGAAATGCACTGCGCAGGTTTTAAAATATAATAGATCCACATTTCTTAATATATCCTGAGACTCTGAAATAGCTTTCATAACATGTTTAACTGAGATTGAACTAAAATTGAGTAAGGACTAATGGGCAAAAAGAGCAGACATTCAAGTTACTCAAGTAAATTTACTAAATCCTAAGACTGGCTAGAATCCTACTACAGTGGTGCCCTGCATAGCGACGTTAATCCGTTCCAGATTAATCGTCGCTATCCAGAAACATCGCAATGCGGGGGGGAAAACCCCATAGAAATGCATTAAAATTCGTTTAATGCGTTCCTATGGGGCGAAAACTCACCGTTATGCGAAGATCCCCCACTGCGCCGCCATTTTCGCCGCCTCGGTAAGCGAGGAAATCGCCCGAAAATGGTTGTGGCGGCCATTTTGGGCACCCGGCAGCCCTTTTGGAACCGCCGATCAGCTGTTCCGCAAACATCGCAATGCGAAGATTGGTAAGCGAAACATTTACCGATCATTGCAATGCGATGTTTAGGCTATTAGAACATCGCAATGCAATCGCATTAGTGATCCCAAAAAATAGATCGCTATGCGGATTCGTCGTTAAACGGTGCACTCGTTATGCGAGGCACCACAGTATTTATGTGCACCAGCATAAATGCAGTGGTGTGAATAGCAGGTAAGTTTCTCCTAGTTTAGGTGTCGATGTCTGTATTCCTTGTCACACACCAAGTTACACAACTCCATCCATCCATCCATCTATAAATAAACTAAATGTTTTGAGTGGACAAAATATTCTTCTATGTGTAATATGTTAAGAAAGCTAGAAAGCTTTACAGAAAAAAACTTCTAGAAATATTTGATGACACAACTGCATTTCATTATAGCCAAAAGAAAAAAAGGGAAGAATTTAAATGTATTTATCAGACCTTACAAAATTTAGAAAAAAATGATTTTTCAATTGAAATTTGTTGGCTTATACTGTATAGTAGATAAAAAGAGAAAATAATCCTTTAAATTAAAAATTGAAAATATATGTAGAAAAAAACAGAAGTTAAAGAACTTGACAAAACTGTGTAAGAGATTTGAGCACTTAAAATAAATAGCAGATCCTACCTGTTGATAGCTTGAGATATTTCCTCACTCTCCCCATACTCCTGACGGTAAGCTCCACTCACCATACGATCAGTGGCTTTGTGCTCACCAAACACCTTTTTCATGGCATCTGTTATTTCGCCTACTGTGCATCTAAAATGAAAGGTTTGCTATTTTTGAGGAGAGAATAACCAACTAACAGTAGGATTTTAATGCTAACCATATATTTTGCATCGGCATAATGGAAATAAAATAAATGTCATCTTAATTTTTTCTTTTCCAGAAATACTGAAGTATTTGCATTCAGTAATGCAACACTAAATTCTCCAGAAAGAAGTTCTCTGAAGATGTGTCTTAGCTAAATTGCACACAGGCCATAATGAGGCTAAGCACTCAATAGGGGAGGCTCTGCCACAGCCATACTCTAGCATTTGTTACCTATAAAGTGACAAAGCTACACTTCAGAGAATGAGTATAGAATGTAAAGAGGACACACACTCAGATCTCTATGCTCAATACTTTCTACCCACCGTGCCCGTGCTGCTTCCACTGCCAGGGCTAGCAAGTTGCCTTGGCCTGTAGCAGCACATTCTGTTAGTGCAGTGAGACAACGCTGGGACGCTTCTTGATCTCTGGAAGCTTTCACCTTTAAAGTGCAAAAAAAAAAATTAACACAGCACAACATATAATTATTTAAAACATAAGATGAGACTTCTAAGTTCATGAAATCTTGTTAGTAATGAAACAGGAATAGAGAGACTTCCATCATGTTTGAAAAAGACTCACCTAGCATAAGTATCTGTTTATTACCTTCAAGAAGACCTGCATCATCATTTTTTCTTGGCAGCTTTCCAATGCCTTAGCAACCCTGCCATGGCTGTCATGCAATTACAATAGTAATTATTGGAGGTTGGGGCGGGGGGGACCCCTACACGTAAATGCTAAGGAGCAAACAGAACTGTGTGATTCTACACATGTTTATTCAAAAGTAAATCCCAGTCAGCTTGTAGCAGTTATTCTAAAAGTACTAGGATTAAGCCCAAAATTCTAGAAGGCACTTTGAGTAAGGCAACTCATTTTCTAATTCTGCTGAACACTTACTTATACACATACATACCCCTTATTTCGCCTTAAAAAGGTCCCAAGGCAGCTTACATCCTTGACAGACAATATTTAAAGCTATGAACAATGAATATAAAGAGGCAGCTTGCATCATTAGAAGACACTATTAAAGCTAAAACAATAAGTATGCAAATACTAAAAAGGAACAAACAACTACGACTCAGAGATATGGTAAACACAAGTACAGTAGTACTAAAGGCCCAGTCAGAGCAGCAATGTGTAACAATCCATCTAAAAGTCGCATTCATATAGCCAGCCATGCAGCCAGTCACTCATGTGGGCAGTCTCTGAGAGAACGCTTGCCTGAAGAGAAGGCTCTTTGCCTCCTTTTGGAAGGACAGCAAAGATGGGGCCAGTTTGTGGAAACAGGCAGTCACGCGGCAAGTACAAAAAATGGCTTATTCAGGACACTCCAGACACTTTAAGTAGGTGTCGGTGCTCCTTGCTTAGCTTAAGGTAATCCACCAAAATGATTAAAATCCCTCCAAAAACCTGAAAAGGAGCTTCAAACATGGAATTCGGTACAGTACAAGGCATTATGACCTGTATCAGGAAAATAGGGAAACACTACTGTCACAAAACATTCCCAACTTCTCTATGACTGATTAAAAAGCACAGAGCCAGATGTTTCAGTTGCCTCCTTTATGTCATATGGCCAAATATGGGCTTGGGTGTCATACAATCACAAACTAAAATAGGTTGGCATGGTTAATGTATCCAATGCAATTCTGTTAAGTAATGTATGTTCTGACAATAGTTATTCTACCTAACTTTGAAGTCCCTGGCACACAGCAATACTGTAGATCGAATAAAATATGTAGAAAACGATACATCAAATAAACAGAACTTTTATGAAAGTCAGATTATATTCATAATCAACAATGTAAATTAGGAGTTTTCTTCAAACCTAATAATCAGGTCTGAGAAGGAGTTACAAGCATACATTTTCAGGAGACTGGGCTATTTGTTATACCACATGTTTAGAAACACGGCTTTATTCATCTTAGATTATTGTGATTTTTCAAAATTGTCCTGTACTTTTTTCATCAGGAATATACTGGCTAAAATCATGTTGCTTAGCATAGTAAGTTGCAGTAGAGTAGGCAACTGAATCAGTGGGGATTTGGTGAGTTAACATCTCTGTAAATTTCACTGATTCCAACAGTCCTAATCTAGCTGCAATTTACTTTAGCATAGTAAGCTGCAACTAGGGTAGTCCTATTTGAATAAAGGAGACTTATCAAATCCCCATAGATTGAATGGTGTCTAGTATGACTTAATACAATCTAAAAGATCAAGATTTACTGCACTAACGGTATGGCTAGGACACGTCCCCAAAACCAATCCCTACGTGACAGACAAAAGGGAAGTTATATGTAGGTGTTTCTTATTTATAGCAAAGCTTGTTGTACGCTTAATAATTTATAAGACTGTCTGAATGATCTTTCTGCTTACCTCTAGCCAATCATTTCTAGGCATCTACTACGGAATAAGATCCCAAATTAAGGTACATCATATGTAGATTTGCAAAAATAAAAATAAAAATAGGAATGTTAAAAACTACCCCTTTGGAGGCAAACAAAGAATAAAACGGAGGGAACTCAGATTACAGTAGTCTTTCAAACCTACACAGCTATTAATTTGGACAGTTGACAGAAATAAATACCATCCTGCTCATTAGCTCAGTTACTGAGGTGATATGGGTTGTATCTTAACATTTCCAACACTTAAGCTGTTTTTAAAAAATAATCATTGTACATAAGTCAGGGACAGAAGGAGCTATGCATTTTTCATGAGAGGGGCCTTAGCACGGAAGGGAGTAAATAGCAGTATTGAACTGCTATTCATCTCAGACTGCATGAATGTTATGTGAGCAGCATATGTTAATATGAGAACCACCTGGAAATAATATCAACAATAATGTGAGAGATGAGTGTGAATGGCAAAGTAGAGGACAATATTTGGAAAACACATTAACTTATTTGAATGCATAGTTAGAGGCATGGGATGTTCTAATATGACTGTATGTCATAATGAGCTCTTTAAAAAAGGGTGGAACAAAAACTGGAACCACATTTTAAACAGCAAATGTGTCTATTCCTCCATCAGCACATTAGGCAGGCTGTAGGTGCTGGACTGGAGTTTGTCAACACACTGTGCAAAGCATAAATGTATCACTGGAGTGCTCTATGTTTGCTAAAATGGCAAAAGACTCAGTACTACTTAAAAAAGACTCAGGAAGGGAAAGGAAGAGCCCAACAAGAACTGGTCTCAAGTCTGCCATTCTTGTTGGCACTCTGCCACAAAGTATAAGAATAGAAGCAAGCTATTCCTGCTCATGAAGGAAAGACTTAAATCCCATGAGTTCAAATTTTTTCCAGCATATGAAAACAAAGAAAGCAGTAGATTACTTCAGTAAGAAAGAGAAGAACCACCATGGTTGGGACTAAGCATATAATGGGAAGTCTCCAATTTAAATTCCAGCAGTGAAGCAGTAAGCTTCTTGACTTCAGTCCTTCCTTCCCTCTGCCAGTCTCCAAAATGAAGATAATACTGCCCTACCTTACATAGTTATTGTACAGAAAATAATGAATAAAAACAATATGACAATTTAACATGCTTTATGTAGCATTTATGGGCAAAATGGGGCCAGTTGGTTGTATGCAGCTGCACAATTCCCTGGACCCCTTCTTTTTGGCTTAAAAAAGCCTGGATGGTCTTCAAACACTTGCTCAAAAAAACTCCTCTCGTGCCAACAGGGTGCTGTAATCTCCAGATATCCAGAGGCTGCCCACCTCTAATTGATGCAGACATATACACTCTCAACACATACCAACTCACCAAAAATGGAAGCCAATAATCTCCTTGTGGAACAGAACTCTCTTCCTCTTTCTTCTCCACATTTTCCTACAGAATCTCCTCTAGACAAGCCCCAATCCACACAGAGAAGATTCTATGGTTGTGCAGTATGGAGTGGGAATCACATCTTTTTTTGTTTTACAAAATTTCCCCCAGTATATTCTAAGCATCATTAAATAAACTGCTTGTTAGTTTTATGCAGTTTTAATTGCACAGTGATAAAACCAACACTTACCTTTTTAAGTTTCTCAATCTGTTTGTTGCGGACTGAAGTGTTATCAATTGCCAAGACTTCAACAGTCTCTTCTTTTTCTAACTGGTACTTATTGACTCCAACAATTACTTCTGAACCTGTATATTTTTCAAATATTAAGAATGTAGAAAACATTCCAAAGCTGCTAACTTAAAAAAAACTTGTTTGCTAGTGTTTCTACCATGTAATACGAAGTCTGTATTTTCAAAAAACAAAAAAAGCCCTGCAACTTTTAATTTTTCAAACATAGTAAAGAATCTTGAATTATTTTGGTTCAGTACACCCAACATGTCAAAACTATTCTTTTCCCATACTGGTCAATGTACTATGGGCCATGTTAGACACATCTGTCATAGCTTCCCAATTCTTCTTGGAAAATATTGAGGATATTTAGAAATTTTAAAAAAGCCAATTGAAAGTTTTTATAGATAAAAATGTACTTAAAATACTTTACATTTCGCATACACTAAGGGATGATACAGAAAGTGATTTGGACAGTAATTTTAAAAATACGTCCTGGCCCTTACTTCACTACTCTTGGAGAACCACTGTAAAAGTTAAAGTAATGTGTGATGAAATTCTGAATGTAATAATTAATGCCTATGTCTCAGCTACTTCAGTGGAAGAAACATGTCTAAGCACATGCAAGAATACAGCCCTGGTAAATCAAATAAATATATAAAGTATTTAATCACAGAATCATAGAATAACTAAGTTGAAAGGGGCCCTGTTCCATTGTTGCAATCATAGAATAACTAAGTTGGAAGGGGCCCTGTTCCATTGTTGTATTATTCTGTTAAGAGGTTTTTCCTGATATTCATCTTAAATCTGGCTTCCTGTAGCTTGAGCCCATTATTATGTGGTCCTGCACTTTGGGATGATTGAGAACAAATCCTCTCCCTCCTTTGTATGGATACCTTTCAAGTATTTGAAAAGTCCTATCATATCTCCCTCCTTCATGGATTGCTGCCTTGTTGTGGCGAAGGGGCTTGAGTAACTCAGAGAAGCTATGGGCTATGCCGTGCAGGGACACCCAAGACGGACAGGTCATAGTGGAAAGTTCTGACTAAACGCAATCCACCTGGAGTAGGAAATGGCAAGCCACTCCAGTATCTTTGCCAGGAACGCCCCATGATCAGAAACAAAAGGCTAAAAGATATGACGCTGGAAGATGGGCCCCTCAGGTCGGAAGGCGTCCAACATGCTACTGAGGAAGAGTGGAGGACAAGTACAAGTAGCTCCAGAGCTAATGAAGTGGTTGGGCCAAAGCCGAAAGGACGCTCAGCTGTGGACGTGCCTGGAAGTGAAAGGAAAATCCAATGCTGCAAAGAAAAATACTGCATAGGAACCTGGAATGTAAGATCTATGAACATTGGGAAGCTGGAGGTGGTCAAACAGGAGATGGCAAGAATAAACATCGACATCCTGGGCATCAGTGAACTAAAATGGACAGGAATGGGCGAATTCAGCTCAGATGATTATCATATCTACTATTGTGGACAAGAATCCCGTAGAAGGAATGGAGTAGCCCTCATAGTCAACAAAAGAGTGGGAAAAGCTGTAATGGGATACAATCTCAAAAATGATAGAATGATGTCAATACGAATCCAAGGCAGACCATTCAACATCACAATAATCCAAGTTTATGCACCAACCAGCATTGCTGAGGAGACTGAAATTGAACAATTCTATGAAGATTTACAACACCTTCTAGAACTGACACCAAAGAAAGATGTTCTTCTCATTCTAGGGGACTGGAATGCTAAAGTAGGGAGCCAAGAGATAAAAGGAACAACAGGGAAGTTTGGCCTTGGAGTTCAGAACGAAGCAGGACAAAGGCTAATAGAGTTTTGTCAAGAGAATAAGCTGGTCATCACAAACACTCTTTTCCAACAACACAAGAGGCGACTCTATACATGGAAATCACCAGATGGGCAATATCGAAATCAGATTGATTATATTCTCTGCAGCCAAAGATGGAGAAGCTCTATACAGTCAGCAAAAACAAGACCTGGAGCTGACTGCGGCTCTGATCATCAGCTTCTCATAGCAAAATTCAAGCTTAGACTGAAGAGAGTAGGAAAAACCACTGGGCCACTCAGGTATAATCTAAACCAAATCCCTTATGAATACACAGTGGAAGTAAAGAACAGATTTAAGGAACTAGATTTGGTGGACAGAGTGCCTGAAGAACTTTGGATAGAGGCTCGTAACATTGTCCAAGAGGCAGCAACGAAAACCATCCCAAAGAAAAGGAAATGCAAGAAAGCAAAGTGGCTGTCCAACGAGGCCTTAGAAATAGCAGAGAGGAGAAGGGAAGCAAAATGCAAGGGAGATAGGGAAAGTTACAGAAAATTGAATGCAGACTTCCAAAGAATAGCAAGGAGAGACAAGAGGGCCTTCTTAAATGAACAATGCAAAGAAATAGAGGAAGATAACAGAAAAGGAAAGACCAGAGAGCTCTTCAGGAAAATTGGAGATATTAGAGGAACATTTTGCGCAAAGATGAACATGATAAAAGACAAAAATGGGAAGGACCTAACAGAAGCAGAAGACGTCAAGAAGAGGTGGCAAGAATACACAGAGGAATTATATCAGAAAGATGTGGATATCCCGGACAACCCAGACAATGTAGTTGCTGACCTTGAGCCAGACATCCTGGAGAGCGAAGTCAAGTGGGCCTTAGAAAGCCTGGCTAACAACAAGGCCAGTGGAGGTGATGGCATTCCAATTGAACTATTTAAAATCTTGAAAGATGATGCTGTTAAGGTGCTACATTCAATATGCCAGCAAGTTTGGAAAACTCAACAGTGGCCAGAGGATTGGAAAAGATCAGTCTACATCCCAATCCCAAAGAAAGGCAGTGCCAAAGAATGCTCCAACTACCGTACAATTGCACTCATTTCACACGCTAGCAAGGTTATGCTCAAAATCCTACAAGGTAGGCTTCAGCAGTATGTGGACCGAGAACTCCCAGAAGTACAAGCTGGATTCCGAAGAGGCAGAGGAACTCGAGACCAAATTGCTAACTTGCGCTGGATTATGGAGAAAGCCAGAGTATGGAACAACTGATTGGTTCAAAATTGGGAAAGGAGTACGGCAAGGCTGTATATTGTCCCCCAGCTTGTTTAACTTATATGCAGAATACATCATGTGGAAGGCTGGACTGGAAGAAACCCAAGCCGGAATTAAGATTGCCGGAAGAAATATCAACAACCTCCGATATGCAGATGATACCACTCTGATGGCAGAAAGTGAGGAGGAATTGAAGAACCTTGTAATGAGAGTGAAAGAGGAGAGTGCAAAAAATGGTCTGAAACTCAACATCAAAAAAACTAAGATCATGGCCACTGGTCCCATCACCTCCTGGGAAATAGAAGGGGAAGATATGGAGTCAGTGTCAAATTTTATCTTCCTGGGCTCCATGATCACTGCAGATGGAGACAGCAGCCCTGAAATTAAAAGGCGCCTTCTTCTTGGGAGGAAAGCGATGACAAATCTTGACAGCATCTTGAAAAGCAGAGACATCACCTTGCCAACAAAAGTCCGAATAGTCAAAGCTATGGTTTTTCCTGTCGTGATGTATGGAAGTGAGAGCTGGACCATAAAGAAAGCAGACCGCCGAAGAATTTATGCCTTTGAATTGTGGTGCTGGAGGAGGCTCTTGAGAATCCCCTGGACTGCAAGGAGAACAAACCTATCAGTTCTAAAGGAAATCAACTCTGAGTGCTCACTGGAAGGACAGATCCTGAAGCTGAGGCTCCAGTACTTTGGCCATCTCATGAGAAGAAAAGAGTCCTTGGAAAAAACCTTGATGTTAGGAAGGTGTGATGGCAAGAGGAGAAGGGGACGACCGAGGATGAGATGGCTGGACAGTGTCTGCGAAGCAACCAACATGAACCTGACACAACTCTGGGAGGCAGTAGAAGACAGGAGGGCCTGGCGTGCTCTGGTCCATGGGGTCACGAAGAGTCGGACACGACTAAACGACTAAACACACATCATATCTCCTCTCAGTCTTCTTAAATGTTGCAATCATTCACTTTCCTTACCAGAATCAATCCGGGCTTGTCTTCGGGCAGCACACTCTTCAATTCGAAGTTTTGGTATTCCTTCAGCTACAGCTCTGGCCATTCCACCCATTTCCTCAATCTCATTAATGAGCTAACAGACAATAAAATTTGAATATTGTTAATCACTAAAAATATATGCCTGCTGTCCAATAATAAAGCATTTAATTAGTAGAAAACTATCTTGTTCCACCAGCTGAAAACCAACTTGTTTCCGAAGAGACGGATGAGAAATTTCTATGTAAGCAACTATTTAAGAGATTATGCCTCTTCCAAACTTTAGAACTTTAGCAGAGGAACCAAGCTATGTACACCACTGCCCACAACAGCTATCTAACATTGGCTCAAGGTCTGATTTAGAGTTGGTGCAAAAGTAACTTCCTTCCAATGCATTAAGTGCTTATAAATAACATGCTTCCTTAGGTACAAGTCCAAAAAGCCCCAGGCACAGCACATTGCTATACATTTTGTATTTAAATACTATGCATTTAAGTGATTTCTGAAGCAGACTGATACAAGAAAAAAAACTGTATTTGATGTCTACATTAATCTTTAAATCTTGTAAAGCTTCACACTTCCAAAGTGCGCTTCATTAAAATATAAATGGCGTTTCTAAAAACCAAATTTAGAAAGCAATTTCTCTATTAATCTGTGGAAAGAATTTGCTTCTGGCTATCCAGGAAGAGAAAACCTTTTGTAAGCCAGAAAACATCTGGTTCATTTCTGCTGGGCAAATGATGTACCATAAATTATTTAACATGCAAACCTATGAGCAAGCATGCTAGTATTTTTTTTTAAAAAAAACACTTAATTACAAGAGTGCATAAAGTCATTAATATACTGGTTCAAGGTAGAAAATCTGGGGAAGTGGGCTTGAGGCACAAAAGATCACATTAAAATATAGCAGTTACTTTTTAAGGTGCCACACTTCTACTCTTGTTTTTTTTTTCCAGTTTTTCATCTGATTTACTGGTCCGTTGTTCCTGACTTCTCTTAGCTGGGCAACTGACCTTTAAAGCAGCTTCAAAGACATCATTGGTGAGACATTCCATCATAAAGGAGCCACCCCAGGGATCTGCCACTTTAGGAATGCCAGACTCTTCCTGTATTATAATCTGGGTATTCCTGGCAATCCGAGCACTTTTCACAGTTGGCAAGCCCAAAGCTTCATCAAATGAATTGGTATGCAAGGACTGGGTACCTCCGAACACTGCAGCCATTGCCTCAATTGTAGTGCGGATGATATTATTATAAGGATCCTAAACAAACAAAGAAAATCAAAAACATTTATAAGGATTAGAAGAGAAATGCATCACATATTGTTTTAATAGGAGACCAGTTTACCAAGTCCAGTGATTACTACACTAGACTTGGGTATCTGTCATATCCACAAAATCCAACAGATATGTCCAAATTGGCAGAGTGATGCCTACTATACCCAGAGGAAAGTGAACTGTTAACATTGGATTGGATCCACATTTAGTCTCTGCCAGTGAGATCATGCCCTCAGTACTGTTCTGATCAGATGCTCTCACTGGTGGAAAGACAATCACCGGCAATCATCCACTCATCTGCAGCCACTTGTGCCCTTCAAAAATTTAGTGTTATGGTTTATAGGGCTTTCCAAACCAGTATTTAGAAGGCTCAAGAGGCTGGGGAAGCAGGAAATCAGCAAAAGTCCTGTCCTGCCTGCAGCAGAAGAGAAGGAGCAAAGAAGAGTGAAGGAACAGCTGTGGGGAACTCATTCAGACCATCCTGATACAGTGATACTCTTAATAATTATACACCCAACCCTTCACTATACTCTTTTTGTTTTGTTTCTTGCTCTATTTTATTTATTGTCTTCTCACTGTATCAGTTGCTGTTGACTGTGAATTATTGTTTTATATTTTATACTTGTAAACCGCCCAGAGTGGTTTGGGTAGCCAGATGGACACTATAACAATTGAATAAAATTAAATCGAATTTCCTATTCTTGCCAGAGGGGGAAAGACCCATACAATTTTACTTGCCACAGAGGCAAGGAGAAAGACTACTCTGTACTCATTCACTAATCTAAGGAACAAGAGTCTGCATAAAATTCCTACTGATGCAGGAACACCAGCAAAGGATCACAACTGAGGACAAAAACTGCATTAAGCGACACAAGTGGTGCATCACTCAGCAATCTGTTTTTGTCGTGAAGAACTGATAGCCCTCCTCTGCCATTTGCCTCCCCGAACTTCCTTTGCAGGCCTTGTTTTTGGAAATGTGCAAGACTGGTGAGAGGGTTTGTCTCTCTTCTTAAATTCCTATGAGCTGCTTTGTGAGACAATGGCAGTTGGGGTGGGGAATTAGGATTTGCAACAGCCTTAATCTAAATTACAACAATCATACACACAAAAGTTTCTCCTACATCCTGATTGGCTCCGTGGAGGTTGGAGTAAGCAAACAACTGTTGAAGAGAAGGGTTTAAACAGCAAACATGCTTGTGCATAACTGCAATAAAAGACTACAACAGAGTAATTGCTCAGCAGAATAAATACCTTCTGGTAAGGATAACTGCATTTCCTGTCAGAACCTTGAGAACATACTCTGAGCTGCAGAGTGCCTGAACTTCCTTAATTTGTAACAATTTGTAATCATACATCTAAATACCTTAATGTTAAATCATATGTATATTAAATATTTTTAAAAGACAAAGCAGCATCATAAAACCATAGAAAAAATGGAGTTGGGAGGGGCCTATAAAGTTATCAGTTCCAAGCTTCTGCTCAATGCATGGGTGGCTGTCTAAATTCTAAATAGATTCCACAGCCATACTGCTCTAACAGTTAGGAAACTGGTTTTTAAAAATATTCAACTGAAATCTGGCTGCCTGTAACTTAACCATTATTATGTGTCCTTCCTTTTCTCCTGCCCTGGTGATCCTTTGTTTTAGTCTGGTGCTCCTGCCCTTCACCCAACTACATTGACCCAAGTAGTCTTCTTTTTCTATGCATATTTTACTCTAATGCTCTTTAAATTCCACAGAGGAACCACACACACATTCTATTTTCTCTTCCTTCACCCACCTTTCCTTTATTCCTTCTCTGTCCCTCTTCATTAATTTTTTTTCTTACTGGTCTTCCTCTCCCTCCACCAGGTGCTCACTCAGTGTTTTATTCTGCTTGATCTACTCCCTCCCCTTAAGAGCAAGGAGGTTCAGTTAATCGACTTCTTAGGGGTGAGGATTTTATTACTGATTTTGCTATCATGCTTTTGGTCCACAGGGACCCTTTGGATATGTAATTATGCGACACCTCACTGCTCTTTTCTCTAGGAAGTATACCATCTCATGACTGAAGAAGGCACTGTCAAATAACAGATATTTAAATTAAAGTTAACCAATCCAAATAACCCTAAAGTGAACATCCTCAGTGTTTTCTTAGTAGGCATGTGAAGTTTCAATTGCTTAAATGCCATGGTTTTGCAAATGTAAAAGAAACGGATAGAAAGACACAAACAACTCTTCTGAATAAAAGATACATATTAAAGTAACTGAACTGTAAGAAATTTGAACAAATCAATAGCATTAAAAATCCAAACACAGAGAAGTTAACATCTTGAGCATTATTATTGTTCATCTATCCATTTGTACACTTCTTTTGTAATTTAGACATACATAAAAACTAGAATTTGTAAAGGTTCCCTCTTTATTGCATGGGAAAACAATGGAATAATGTTGGAAATATTAGAAAAGAAAACTAGTAATCATGTGCCACAATATTTACACTGACCTGTTCAGTCAATGACCATCCAGAAGTTTGACAATGAGCTCTAAGGAGAAGTGATTTGGTGTCCTTTGGCTGAAACATTTTTTCTACTAAGTGAGCCCAGAGGCGCCTTCCAGCTCTTAGCTTAGCTATTTCCATGTAAAAGTTCATACCAATTCCCCAGAAGAAAGACAGTCTGCAACAAGAGAACACATAGTGTTGTCCACGATGAATAAATACATGTCATGCGGATCATGAAGTGGACAAAAAGTCAACACTTTTGAATCCAAAGTAGAAAGAAGAACTCCCCTGGTTGCCTTTGGATTGATGAAGGTCAACTGATTTCCTTTAAAAGGTCTAAGAGCCACTGCTTATAGTCTTTTCCATATTTTTCATACCCACTGACTGTCATATTCATCAAAAGGATGGAAATTAGCCATCTAAAATTGTATAAAAGGCACCAGATGATTTTTTTGATTACAACTACAATTATCTGAACTGTTCCATAGCCTCATAGCATGCACTAACAAATGCCATTATGTCATGAAGAAAAGAGGAAAGCTAGAAACACATCCACTTCTAAACAGTTACACAGAGTCCAAAGCATTTACTTCTGTCAAAGCCTACAACCTTGTTATTAAAGAACAGAACAGAAATCACATTGAACATATTGCCAGCCTGTAGCTTTTCAGACAGCTGCCACTCAACTCAAACAACCTTCATAGAAATCATAGAAAAGTGAAGTTAGAAGGGGCTTTCAAGGCCATCAAGTTTTTCTCGGATGCCTTATTCTGTCTGTGCCACCTTAAACTGTCACAGTGGGACTTGATTTTTTCACTGTGAAAGCAGGCTTCAAATTTCAAAGTAACTGAACCATCAACTGCTGCTTTAATTACTTTACCTTCAACCCTGCAAAAAATACATAAAATCCCGTGCTGGATCAGAAAGAAGTCCTAGATTCAACTCCAGCATCTTGCTTCTTACAGTATTCAAACTGATGTTTCCAGAAATTCCATACAGAGGAAATGAAGCCCCGTTCCTCCAATTTCTGTATAACATCTGCAATCAAGTTACTTTTGACTTATAGTGACCATATGAATTAGCAGCTCCCAAAAGACCCTTTCATTAACAGCCCTTAGAGTCGTGCAGTTAACATTGCTCAGGTCTTACAGTGAAAGTTAAGGCTTGATTTCATCTGGAAACCACTTATTTGTCTTTTTGAAGGCCCACAGTATCTGTAAAACTCTTCTCCAATATGACATTTCAAATAATTTTTTTTCTTCCTGTCAACTTTCTTCCTATTTCAATGTTCACAACCATTCGTAGTACTAAGGAACACCATGGAAGAATTTTGACCTTCAATGATCCTGCAAGGAATCCTGACGGTACTGCTCTCAACATCTCTGACACATTCAAACCCTCTCACCATGTTACTGTGTACCTCCAGAAAAGGCACACAATACTCCTCAATATTTGGCACACCACAATATACTTCCACAGAATAAGGCAGTCTAGTATTGCTATCATAGGCAAAAGCCAGTGAAAGACCTTTCTTCTATTAATTTGTCAAACTTCCTTTTAATTCCCTCTAAGCTAGCATCCATCAACAAATGTTATAGAAGCAGTTGCAGTTTTAATTATGTATTGCGTTAAAATGCATAGTGATGACCAGAAGTGCAGGAAAGGCAATAAAAATACAGCAATGGTTTGGCATGTTAATTCCATTTTCTTAATCTAGATCACTTTTTAAAAATAGCTACACTTCAAAATTCCATTTCATATGTAGGAAAGCCAACAAGTATCTTATTAAGGCTGTAGCTCCCTTGGGCCATTTCTGGCACTTCTGTAGGTCCTCACTGCATTATCCAACACATTACTTCCATAGAAACTATGAAACCAAATTGCTTTGTACAATTTGGTTTTATATCATACAACACCTCACTTTCAAAGATGTATTTCCATCTTGAAATTTCAAAATTAAAAACCAGAATTCTTTTCCAAAAAATAGAATTAATTTACCTTGGAGCAAATTCATCAATGGTGAGACCAGCCTGAAGCCCAGTTCTGCAGTACTCTAAGCCATCAGCTATAGTATAAGCTAATTCCAAAATGGCATCGGCTCCAGCCTCCTGCATATGGTATCCACTGATAGAAATGGAATTAAATTTGGGCATGTGCTACAAGAAAAATGTAAATATACTTGAATGCTAAATATATGTGAATAAAACACTTAGATCAAGAACAATAAACAAGTACTTGTTAGAGCAAAGAGTACCTTTGATGTATATTGGAAGATGTCAGCAATTATCCGCATTGATGGTTCTGGGGGGAAAATGTAGGTATTTCGAACCATGAATTCCTTCAGTATATCATTCTGTATTGTTCCTGTCAACTTGGACTGAGGCACACCTTGTTCTTCCCCAGTTACAATGAAAGTTGCCAGGACAGGAATTACTGCTCCATTCATTGTCATAGAAACAGACATTTTCTCCAGAGGAATGCCATCAAAAAGTATCTTGGTATCTTCTACTGTATCAATGGCAACCCCAGCCATTCCAACGTCACCACGAACTCGGGGGTTGTCTGAATCATAACCACGATGAGTTGCCAGATCAAAAGCAACAGATAAACCTTGCTGGCCCGCTAGAGCCACACAAAAGAACAGAAAATAAACAGGTTAGCATTACAGTGGTGCCTCGCTTAACGATGTTAATTGGTTCCAAAAAAAACATTGCTATGGGAAAACATCGCTAAGCGAAACACCATTTCCCATAGGAATGCATTGACAACCGGTTAATCCGTTCCAATGGGAACGGATTACCGTCCTTAAGCGAAAATCCCCATAGGAAACATCGCTAAGCGATACAATGTTTCCCCCATTGAAAATCATGGAAGCCGACTCAATGATTTTCAATGGCTTTCCGATGTCTTTTTTCGCTCATTTAAAAGTGTCTTAAAATGTTTGAAACCTGTTTTAAATGCTTGGAATCATTAGTCCACCTTGTGAAACCTATGCAAACTTAATTTGGCTTTGTTCTGAGTCTTTGTTAATTTTTGGTGAATTTCCCCCCCCCCCCTTTTAAAAAAATAATAATAAAAAAATTACTGCTCCATTCATTGTCATAGAAACAGACATTTTCTCCAGAGGAATGCCATCAAAAAGTATCTTGGTATCTTCTACTGTATCAATGGCAACCCCAGCCATTCCAACGTCACCACGAACTCGGGGGTTGTCTGAATCATAACCACGATGAGTTGCCAGATCAAAAGCAACAGATAAACCTTGCTGGCCCGCTAGAGCCACACAAAAGAACAGAAAATAAACAGGTTAGCATTACAGTGGTGCCTCGCTTAACGATGTTAATTGGTTCCAAAAAAAACATTGCTATGGGAAAACATCGCTAAGCGAAACACCATTTCCCATAGGAATGCATTGACAACCGGTTAATCCGTTCCAATGGGAACGGATTACCGTCCTTAAGCGAAAATCCCCATAGGAAACATCGCTAAGCGATACAATGTTTCCCCCATTGAAAATCATGGAAGCCGACTCAATGATTTTCAATGGCTTTCCGATGTCTTTTTTCGCTCATTTAAAAGTGTCTTAAAATGTTTGAAACCTGTTTTAAATGCTTGGAATCATTAGTCCACCTTGTGAAACCTATGCAAACTTAATTTGGCTTTGTTCTGAGTCTTTGTTAATTTTTGGTGAATTTCCCCCCCCCCCATTGAAAAGCATTGAACTGACAGTTCTATGCTTTTCAATGAGGGAAATCATGCAATATCATCATGCAATAAAGTGAAAAAGAATGAACAAAATGTTCTGCAACAATCCTATTCAGCATTAAGATTAACAGGAATACAGAAAACTGTTGAAGGGAGATCCAGAGAAAGCCAGAGAGCCACAAGGTTTAGTAGCTGCCTAAGAACTATCAGTTCATAAGCAGTTATTATAAATGTTACACATCCTTAAGATGACTGATTTTAGTTTACTGAAAAAAAGCATAGGTATGCAGAATGCCATATTGAAGAAGACGCATAGAAATGAGAAAATGATCAAAAACCTGTTTCTTAGCATAGTAAATTGTACTAGTATAGGCCCATTGAACCAATGGAGATTCAGTGAATCAACTCGTTTGTAAATTCTATTGAATCAAACAGGCATACAGTACCTGCAATTTACTATTCTAAAGTAAGTCACAGAGTAGGCTTATTTGACTCAATAGAACGTATGGAGGAGTTGATAAACTGAACCCCATTGATTCAACAGGTCTGCTCCAATACAATTTGCTACACTAAGCAAGGATATTTTGGCCATAAAATCACACCCAGCAACTCATTAAGATATTAAACATAACTTTTAAAAAAAATCAACAATTAGACTCCACTACTGATATTACTTGGGGCTAAGCTTTTCAGTTATAGACTTCTACTAATTATTTTTAAAAATCTAGACTTTGCAACTGTGTGAAGAATCCAAGTAATGCAATAACAATTACTGTACAAAATTAGATGTGGAACATTTTTTTCAACACCATATCCTAAATTATCATCATCATTTTAGCACGGCATAGCTGGAAGGGACCCTATGGATCACCTAGTCCAACTCCTGACAAGGATACACAGTGCGGAATCAAACTCCTGACCTCTGAACCTAAACCACTGAGCTATCCATCAGTTTAGTATCCAATTTTAAAGTGGCCAACAGTGATAAAATGATATGCTTAAGTTTTGCAGAAGAAAAATAGGAACATGTTTCTATTACCACCCAAATAAAATCTTCTATTTTATTGAGATCTGCACCTTAATTTTTTTTTCAAAAGATAATTGTTTTATTATTCTAGCTACTCCAGGAAATGAAAAAAAGAGAAGAGGAAAAGAATGTGGAACACAGTGCTGTCATTTAGTAAGTACTGTACTCTGCTGAATAAGAGTCCAAGTACTGAAACAGACTCGAATATTCAAGTAAATTTAGAAGAAAATCCAAAATTCATAGGTGAGCAATACTCTTACTGGCACTGCCTGCTTCTGGATTCTGATTTTACTTCATGGACTGGCTGAGCTACCAGCTACTCGAAAGGAGTCAAACTATCCTTTTTTCAGTTCACATAGAAGTAGACAGAATGCATCTCTGAATTATCCTTCTTCCTTCCCCTAACAGAATCAGAATAGTCATCATAGCAAAACTAACTATCCATGGTTGGTTTTAATTCACTAAGAAAAGATCAAAAGATCAGAAATGATCAGAAAATAAATTGGAAATGACTGAAGACTTTTGCTTAAAACGTCCCTTACCAAAACTAAATGTCTGATCTATACATGTTTGGTTGATGTTAGGAAGTTCACTTAACTCCCAAATAAGACTTCATTTGGCTGTCATGGGACCCATGATTACCCAGAACGAATATCATTAATTTCCATGCAACCTCCTTCCAAACTTGTGATTGCAGCCCCCATCTGGCATAAAATACAAATACAAAAGCACCTAAGAAGTAGGCCACACTCTCCCCTCCCCTCACTCCTCAGGGCTGTATCTCACCCTTGATGTTGTCCTTGTAGAATTTGTTACTTTCCTCCACAGTACTGAAGCCAGCATACTGGCGGATGGTCCAAGGCCTGTAAGTATACATGGTAGGATAAGGACCACGAGTGAAGGGTTTCACTCCGGGTAGTTCCTCTGGAAAGTTCTGTGTGTCCTGTTTAGAGTACAGTGGTTTGATGGAGATTCCCTCTGGGGTGTGCCATATCAGCTCCTCTGGATTCTTGCCCTTCAGCTGCTTTTTGGCCATTGCAACCCACTCAGAGTGGAGTGCTTCTGCATGCAGTGAGCGCTGAATATGGAGGTCATGGAGATGTGGCACTGTCTTTTTCTTGTAATGGAAGGGCCAGAGGCACAGAAGTTTATTCTTCGCCCGCAACATTTTCTACTGAAGTTCAGATGCAATCTGTGGGATGAGATGTGAATATTATAAAACGATTTAATAACATTATGGTGCCCAGGGAAGCTTAGGAGGCAGATTTTTGCTTTTAAACACAGAGAATAATTTTTACACACCGAATAAAGCAACAACAGCGAAGAATGCTATTCTGCCTTAAACACTAAAGTACAGTGGTGCCTCGCTTAACGATGTTAATTGGTTAAAAAAAACATCGCTATGGGAAAACATCGCTAAGCGAAACACCATTTCCCATAGGAATGCATTGAAAACTGGTTAATCCGTTCCAATGGGAACGGATTACCGTCCTTAAGCGAAAATCACCACAGGAAACATCGCTAAGTGAAACAATGTTTCTCCCATTGGAATGCATTGAAGCCTATTCAATGCATTTCAATGGTTTTGCGATGTCTGTTTTCGCTCATTTAAAAGTGTCTTAAAATGTTTGAAATCTGTTTTGAATGCTTGGAATCGTTAGTGCACCTTGTGAAACATTTTCAAACTTAATTAGGCTTAGTTCTGAGTCTTCGTTAATTTTTGGTGAAATCCACCCCCCCCCATTGGAATGCATTGAACGGACCATCTGACAACCTAAGGCATCTGATGAAATGGAATGCTAGCTTATGCTGTGATACATTTGTTACTGTTTAACATGCCACAACATTTTTTAGCTTATGACAATGTAATAACACATCCTCTCTAAAAGGTGTGCTGTCCTCTGAAGATGCCGGCCACAGAGACTGGCGAAACGTTAGGAACAACAACCTTCAGAACACGGCCAGAGAGTCTGAAAAACCCACAACAGCCATTAAATCATCTACTTCTTTTGGAATAGGAACACACCCACCCTCTTTGCACCACAGGTTTGTGAGCTATTGATAGGAACCAAGACTGGCATTATTGCTGTAGCTGTGCCAACAGTTTGGCAGGAAACAACTCCCTCAGCTTTGCCCACCTGATGATGAGAGGGGACCCACTCCATGGGGGAGCACTGCCTCCACTTACTCCAGATGTCAAGTGAACATATTTACGAAGGGAAAAAAAATTCACTTAACGGTGATCTTTTTAAAACTGAACACCTGTTTTCAGAGGAACACCCAATCCTTCAGATTTTTTTTACCACACCTCTTTGCCATCGTAAATGCAGCCTCCATAACTGAGGCTCCTGAGAGTCGAAACCTAAAACACATGGAAAACTTTCACTCAACCCCATTTCACAGCAATTAACCGGACACTGTCTGGGCCAAAATTTTGACGTGAGCGGCGCTAAGTGTACCAAGCCAGGTTATCATTCAAATCGGTCTCAGTTCTCAGATCTCTATTCCAAGAAAGGCTGCGGGTTGCCCCAAGGCCTCTCATCAGGTTAGGGCAAAGCACTCAAAGGCACTCTCCCCCCTTTTCAGGTATTATATGCAGGCAGTGGCAGTAGATATGGAAGGTGAGCTTATTGCCGTGACTCAGTCCGGCGACCGACGACACCCACCACCAGTCGCGACGAAAGGAACGTCTCCCAAAAGGGGAAACGCGGGAGACAACCGCCCCCTCTTCGCCAAGACGACCAGGGCCGAGCGCCGCTCCCGGGAGAATACCTGCTTCTACGCGACGCCACGACCCCTGGGAAAGAGAGGGCGACGAACCTGTACGCGCAGGCGCAGTCCCGCGGAAGCGCTGTCCCCGGCGCGCAGGCGCAGCGCGCCCTCCCCAGTCGTCCAACGGTGCGCCTGCGCGCCTCGAGTTCGCGGGAACGCTTTCAAACAAGCGAGCCTTCCTTCCTCCGCCTCAGCCTGTGGTGGAGCGGAGAGCTCCCGGCGGGGGCTTCACGGAGGGGAGTGTGTGTGCGCCAATGCCAATGGTGAGTGTCCCAACGGGAGGAAGTGCTGTGGGCTTTGTCTCAGTAACGCCGTACTTGGCAGAGAGGAAAGGCATCGTTTCACGGCGGCAGCGGCGGCTCTCATTTATTTATTTATTAAATTTATACCCCGCCCATCTAGACCGAAGTCTGTTCTCGCCCGGGTTCGGCCCTGCCTCTCTCGGGTGTCCTGGCGGCGTTGATTGCCAATACCTAACGCAGTAGATTTGCGTTATTAGAACTGGTGTTTTCTGCTTCTCCTCTTCCTCTGACCTGAGGGTTTTCCAGAGCTGCCAACTGAGGGAAGAAGCCTTCCGAGGGTCCGAGGAAAAAGGAGATTCCACACCAAGAAGTGGACAGCAGGCAGGGTGGATTTGATTTGTATGAAATGGGTTTAAACATATAAAAAAACAGATCTTTTGATTAGATTCTTTTTAAAAAAATCTATTTTTAAGTTAGATTCATGATTTAAATCAATTTGATTTTTTTAAAAAAAATGACAGCAACCCATGAATATTTACACTACAATAAATGATTTAGTCTTTGAAGTGGCATAAGGCAATGTTGGTGATTGCTAATAAGGAGTCATTTTTGTCATTGACATGGCAACTTTCTTCAGGGTTTTTTAGGTAGCGAATACTCAGAAGTGTTTACCGTTCTCTGCTTCTAGGGGCATCCTGGCATAGTGCAGCTTTGCCTAGGGCCCCACAGGCTGGCTTTACTCACAAGGAGGCACAGTGGGGAATCCAACTCCCAACCCCTGGCTCTGTAGTGAGATATCCGAACCATAGAGTGAAACTTCGAGAAATTGAGAGCAGGATTGTTAGCGGGACCTTGTGGGGAAAGAAGAACTCATAAAGAATCATCTGAAGTGTTTAGTGAGAAGTAGCTTATGGACCCTCCCTCTCATAGCATCTTATCCTCGTTCTTCTTGTAAGGACCAGGCAAGAGGAGCTGCAAGGGAGAAGATGGCTAAAGAGCAACTTGAACCTTCCAGGAAAAAAAGGGGAACAGATGGAAGACAGCGGAAGAGAAACCTACAGAGACAAGTAAGTATCATACCCCTCTTGTGAGAAATGGGGCTGGAGAAAAAAAATATTTTCATTGGGATACACTTGTTATTGGAGTTAAGATTTTCATCCTCCTCCATTCACAGATAACACAGATCATGGATAAGTGGAGGCTATGGTCCATATCACACCAACTAAATGAGCAGTAGCATTTCAGAATGCAGGTGGAAGTAATCACTTTCTTTTGCAAAAAACAAGCACTGGTTTAGTGTGGTTAATGCTAGGTTTTTATTGTTGGCTGGGTATGCCATGAGGTTGTGGAAATAAATAAGTGTGCCTTCCACATGGATAACTAGCTTCCAAGATCCACTCCCTATTGGAATCATCTGATACGTGATCTCTTACCTACAACACAAAAATGGTACCACTCAAAAATGGTGTGGCATATGGAATAATGGGGCCAAATTACACATAACCAAGTTGGGCTCCTGTGCAGTCTGATAAACAAAGTTGATAGTAAGACAAATCAGAACGCAGTGACTCGGATAGCTACTTTTACACTTTTTTACATGGCAACATTACTGTTTCTGAGTAATGGAAGAGTGTCCTGATACTGTGATTATGATGAAATTGAGATGATTGTGAGAATGAATGAATATGTGCCACAACATCACACATATAGTACAACTTCTCAAATACTCATCCTACTCTGTATTATCAGTCCTTGCAATTCAGGGTCATTTGATGGCATGTCTGTAGTCCTGTGGAACAATAGCTGGAGAGATTCTGAGCATATCAGTATAAGCAATATATTCCTTCTCTATTTGTTATGACTAGAGATGGGGGTATATGAATACAAATATCCCTGTGCAGCTGGAGTTAACGAGGGTCTGCCCCCTGGGATTGGACCATTCACTCATATGTCTGGCTGCGGCCTCACTCATCCTTCCATTCCGCCCCAGAGCCCTGCTCTCTTCCTACTTAGCTAGCTACTCCAGGGAGGATGAGTGTCCCTGCACGGCTGCCAAGTTACTAGCCAAACAGGAAGAGAGTGGGACTCTGGGGGTGATTGGAAGGATGGGCGAGGCCACTGGATGCATGAGTGGACAGTCTGACCCCAGGGGCTAGACCCTCGTTAACTCCAGTTGCGTGGGGATATTCATAGTCATATACTAATACCCCCATCTCTAGTTATAATACTAAACTCTGAAGTTCCTGTTCCTACAGGAGCTTGGCCTTGTATGCGCAATATGCAGGAGCTCCCACTTAACAGTTTGAATGTTGTTAGTGATTTGCCCCTATAAATTAGAGATTTATCTGGAGTTCTGTACTCCTTGGTGGTGGTGTAAGAGGGAGTAGGGACAGTATGTGTGTGTTACTGTCTTTCTGAGCTGAGAGTGATGCCATATTTTGCTGACAAGTTATGCTGTCATTATACGGTGGGATGATTGTGATTCAGGGGATCTTAGGATACAAAACCGCCAGCATAATCCTGTGTCCATCTTCTTGGAGCCAAGTCCTATTTATTTCATTGAGGCTTCCTCCCAGGTAACTGGGTATAGGATTTCTGCTGCAGGCGGCTTCTTTCATGATATCATATACTGTAATTGTTGTTTTCAGCATCGGTGCTGTCATAATGTTTGCAATGACCTGCTGTCATAATTCTGGCGGGCTTGTAAGACATAATGATGCAGGTGACTTATGCTGTGATTGTATACAAATGTACCTGGGACTATGTTCTGTTGAATGCAACAGGGTTTACTTTTGAATAGTATGTATAGTACGTATGTACATGACGGAACGCCTTCTCCCACCTAGATCTACCCGAGTCACCCGTTTTAGCCAGGAAAGATGGATGAGGGGCCTAATGCCGAGAGAGGCCCGAAAAGAAAGAACAAGAAGCCTATGGAACACCTTGCCACCGGAAATAACCCTGGCACCCTTGCTGGGTGTTTTTAAGAGTAATTTAAAAACTTGGCTCTTTAGGCAGGCCTTCCCTCCAGTCAACACCTGATTTTTTTTTTCTCTTTAGTTCTCTTTTTCCTCCATCTTGAACTTTTAAATTTATTGATTTAATCATGTGATTGTTTTACGATATACAGTATTTGACAGTTATAATGATGATTTTATATTATTGTATTTTATGGTTTTTGAAACTGTTTGTAAGCCGCCCTGAGTAGACTCTGTCTAGAAGGGTGGGGTAGAAGTAAAAAATTAAATAAATAAACAAATAAACAAATATAGGATTGTGTTGTTACTGCCGTAAAACTCTGAAGACAGCATGAACAGAAAACAAGATTGTCATTTAATAATCTGAACTGTCTGCCGTGAAGTCAGTGCAAGACCCCTACGGTATGATGGTTACAGTCTTGACATAAAGGGTGCCCATAAGGATGGTCAAAATATAATACAGTGGTAACCCGCATAGCGACAATAATCCGTTCCGGATAAATCGTCGCTATCCGGAAACGTCGCTATACGAGGCAAAAAAAACCCCATAGGAACGCATTAAACCCTGTTTAATGTGTTCCTATGGGGGGAAAACTCACCGCTAAGCGGAAATCCTCAATCCACCTGCCATTTTCGCCGCCTCGGTAAGCGAGGAATCGGAGCGAAAACGCTGAAGGCAGCCATTTTGTTGATGCGGTGGCCGATCAGCTGTTCTAAAACATCGCAATGCGATGTTTACCCTATTTAAACATCGCAATGTGATCGCAAAAGCGATCGCAAAATCCGCATTGCTATGCAGATTCGTCGTTAAACGGGGCGCTCATTGTGCGAGGCACCACTGTATATAGTATGAACATACTAAATCACTGTTTGAATATTAACATTAGTGCTATTTGCAACTATGTTGCAACTATTTGTGTAAAACAGTCCTATGTTTGCAGTGGGAGTAATAATGTGCAGCTTTATTGAACTGGCCCCTAGAGGGTGTAATTGTTCTAGAAACATAGAAGTAGTGAGTGGATCATACTTCTAATTAAAACAAGGGAAGTGTTCAGCACTCATTATATAGTTCCATAATATTTCATGCTTTATAGCAATTTAAGGATTATATATGCATAAATGGAACTGATCTGATTCAGCAGCACTACAGAGTTCCTGGAAAAGAAGAGCAGCAACAGAAAAGAGAGGTTGGATGGGAAAGCAGTAGCATTTTGTTATCTATTTTATCATTTGCTGGTTGCCACCCACATCTTTGCTACAGCACTACCATTTTACAATACAGTAAGTTTCAGTGGAGGTTACTCTGGTGGGCAGGTAGTAATTACATACATACATGGCTATAGATGTGTGTGTGTATTAATACAATGAAGTGTAACATTAGGTAGTATCCTGTGTATAAATACAGATCAAGGTAGTATCCTGTATATAAATACAGATCAAATTCAGATTGGTTCTGAATATATATCAGATTGGCTGAGTCATTATATTGCTGGAGGTGGAGGCGGAGCTTGGTCGCAGGGAAGCCAGCAGCTGCTGGGAACAACTCCCAGGAAAAGCTGGAACTGCCCAGTCTGGGGTCCCTCTAGAAATGGAGGGATCAAAGAGGAGACCAGGAGGGATCTCTCTGAAGCAGTTGGTGGGCTCCAGAAGGTAGAAGATTGGGCAGCAACCTGATTTTTATTTCCTCTGAAAATTCACCTGAGCACAGATCAGAGATGGGAAGCCATATTCTGGCAGAATAGCTGTGAGTAACTCCACCCCCATTCCCTGAGGAGAGGAGAACAAAAATACGGCTGAAAATATACAATAACAAAGTAAGTTGAAGCCTTTGATTTATGAATAACCTCATTAAGATGCAAAAGAAACTAGAGTGAAAATATTTGGCCAAAAGAATAGAAAGGAGTGGCAAGTCGTGCTTGTCAGCCTGCTTCTTCAAAGCGAAACTGACTCTTGAACAGTAAGCTCTTAAACAACATAGGTCACACATAGGCAGTGAGACGGAAAATTTTGTGTTTCTGGAAAAATCCCAGAGAAAATACTATTGAACTGAAATCTTATGAATGCTGTTTAATCTGGATCCTTCTCCCTAAATTGTGTGGGACTCTGAAAATAAAATCTTGCTTTTGGGGAAGGAAAAAGCTTTTGGAAATAAAAAAACAGACTGTGAATCATCAGTGTGATGACACAATCAGCTAGATTGAAGAGCTGGGGAAACCAGGACTGCAGTCTGACAAATGGGGCTTTGATAACAGAAGCTTGCTTGGTTTTAGAATCAGGATTAAATCTTTGGCAAGAAAACAGACAGTGAATTATCAGCGAGATGAACACAACCGAATAGACTGAGGAGCTAGGAAAATCAGGACTGGAGTTTTGATGGATTACAATGATATCTGTTGGAGACTCTGGCTTATATCTAGTCGAGAGACTGGCTCCCTATGTTTTCTATTTAGTCTGGACTTTTCTTGGTTGGACTGTGTGGATTCTGATAATACTGCTACGTTTGTAATTCAAATTGTTGGGCTAAAAGTCCAATAAATAAAAGTCGAGCTATATATTTTAATATCTGGGCAAGGAGGGGAGGACATACTCAGGGGAGGTATATGATTATGTGTTTGGTTTGTTGATAAAATAGTGGAAACTAAAAATATTATTTATACAAACCACATGCATTGGAAAGATGGAGATAGCCTCTGAAAATTTTAAATATCAACTGTTGGGATAACCTGCCAGATTAGAATGGCAGGTTACCATGTGAATGACAATAATAACAGGATTTCTACAGGTAAATGAGCATCTCAACCAGGTGGAAGATCAGATGAAAAAGAAACCATCAGATGTTAAACAACAGTTAAAGGAAACTGCACTAACTCCAGAACTGTTTTTATTGAGTCTGAGGCCAGGTAACATAGATGAGATTAAGAGTTACCCTGTGAGCTATTTAGCTACAATAGTCAAAAAAGGTGATGTTAAAAATCAGATTACTGTCCTGGATTCAACCCTATATCCCAAAAACTGGAAGAAAACAGAGTCACGGAAACAAGAGAAGTGTACTGAGAAAATATGGGAAGTGATAGAAATGGATACTTTTTCAGGCATGTTGAATGTATGTCCAAGACAGAAGGAAATTGAAAGAGGGGATCTATTTTATAACTGGTCTCGGTTTCCTGATAGTGTTGGAGTAACTTAGATTTAAACTAAAACATAAATGTAAACTGATAGTTGGAGGGTAATCAAACAGTAAAAAAGAAGTAGAAAGATGCTTTTTTTAAAAATTGAAAAATGAATAGATTGGATGCTTGTATACTTAATATTAATAGATTGGATGATTAAATATTTTATGCTCTCCTATCCTTAAAACCCTTTCCCATCCCTTCCACTTTCTTTTACCTTTTGTATTCCCTACCCTATTCCTAGTAGTTTAGAAATAAAATATATTTTTTTAAAAAATTACATTGCTGGAGGCATGAGCTGAAGGAAAACAATATGGTTGGACTTCCTGTTCCTGTTAACCCAGAAAGCATTACTCTCTGTGTTCAAGGGGAGCAGGATTGGTCAAAAGTAAGGAACAAGACCCTGAAGAGATACTATGGCTGAGATCATACTGAAACTTTATACAGTGGTGCCTCGCTTAACGGGTGCCCCGTTTAACGACGAAATCGCATAGCGACAAAGATGTTGTGATTGCTTTTGCGACCGCATTGCGATGTTCCCTATGGGGAAAAAATCGCTTTATGATTATCGGTACCCTGTTTCGCTTACCGATCATTGCAAAGCAATGATTTTTTTAACAGCTGATCGGTGGTTCCAAAATGGCCACCAGGTAAACAAAATGGCTGCCTGCTGTGTTTTCGCACCGATTCTTCGCTTACCGGGCAGCGAAAATGGCGGCCGTATGGAGGCTTTTTGCTTTAAGGTGAGTTTTAAGCCCATAGGAACGCATTGAAGGGGGTTCAATGCATTCCTATGGGCTTTTCAAAATTGCATAAGAATGAAATCGCTTTGCAGCGATTTTTGCTGCACCGATTATCGTCACTATGCGAGGCACCACTGTATAAGGTGCCTAAGAAACTCCCTATAGCCTTCTGCTTACGTGGGTTGGGAGCCTGAGAATGAGTGTATTCCTGTAATTAAAACATTTTATGATGTTTGCTTCATGCTTATTCCTTTATAGAAGGGTGCCCAAGGAGTCCAGGAACAGCAAAGCACAGAATCTCCCAAAGGTAGTCTATTTTTTTTTACATTTTAAAAAATCTTTGTGTAACTGATACATATTTTCTTCATTCGTTATACTCATAGATAGTATTTGAACCATAGTTGGACTAGATGATGTTTGTGCCAGAGGTAGCTATAGCAGGGGTGGGCAGATTATAGATCTAGATCTGACTGATAGATCTCTGATTTGCATTAGATTGGTAAGGATTTCTTATTCTGAACAGTTACACAGTAGCAGCCACAAAATAAGAAGTGTGTGCTTTTTTGTGTTTTTGGACTGACCCCCCAAGAATTTTTCAGGCAGATTTCTGGGAATTGCAGGCCATAAACGCAGCCTGCAGACCTCTAGATTTCACCCTCCTAGAGAAGGGCTTATGGGTTCTCTACCCATGACTCTACTAAACTCCCACCATGAGCTTCTCCAATTTTTGCTAATATTGTTAACTTTTAAAAAAAGCTTTTGAATTGCTTCCTGGAAGTTGTAGTTCTTCAGGAGGTGCTCTTTATTGGGTACAACTTGCAGTGAGACTATGACTTCTAGCATTATCCATGACTGGGAGGTCCTGGATCCTCCTGATATGATCCAGCGACTGTTGGACTGCAATTCCTATCAGCCCTAATCAGCATACTCAAAGATGAGGAATGCTGGAAGTTGCAGTTCAGCACTAGAGCTGTGCTTTGTCTAGTTTTGTACAGTATTGTTGCTATTTCTTTAAGATCTTTTAAAATCTAAACAAATGCTAGTGATTTTGAGTAGAGTCTATTATATTGTTACATTGGTATCAAGACTTTTGGTGGAAAATGGCAGTTCATTTATAGCTTTGCTAGAGCTTTACCAGTCACCAGTTTGAAACTTGTTTCCAGACACTGTTCTAAGTGCTGATAAGCCTTATACAAATTTGGCCTTGACAACCTTCCCTATGAGCTTGCCTGAACTTTGAGAGGCTCTTTCTGTGTTCCTGTTATCCTCAAAAGCAGATCTGGGGAAGAGGAGTATTTTTAATCTGTTTCTTAAAAAATATTTGAATTAATGTTTAATAGTAATCTGTTCAGTCATGTGGTACTTCATTTGGCAAATAAAAACATTCATTTGTTGTTTACAGATATATTTCTTTAAGAAAAAAATTGTTTAAGAAAATAATCTTGCCTTCATTGCATGTTTTAAGTAGTACTAAATCAATGTTGTACCACACATCATTCTGACCATGTTTAGCTGGGATACTTATGAATTCTCTTGTTTTTTGTCAGCAGAAACAGCATCCCTGTACACAAAAGTGCTGAAAGTGACACAGCGTCAGAGAGCAAAATGGCGGCCGCTTCCAAAGAGCAGTAGAGAGCACCTGGAATCCACAATGCATTGGTTAATAACGTATGTCTTGAAGAACTTCCTGTCAATATTTTTTTTCCACCTGAGAAGCTTTGGCTATGGTAAACAAAATTGTTTTTCACTTAAATAACTATAATTCTTAATTTATTGATAACTAAAGGTACTTTCAGGAATGGAGCAGTTTTAAGCAATTTAATTATTGGATCCTTATTAACATCAGGAAATTCTAGGCAAGGAATAGAATAGAAATCATAGAAAAGTGAAGTTGGAAGGGTCCTACAGGGCCATCAAGTACAACCCCCTGCTCAATGCAGGAATACAATCAAAGCATATCTTCCAGGAGATTATCTGAGTTTTTCTTGAATGCCTCCCCTGTTGGAGCACTCACCAACTCCCAAGGTAACTGGTTCCACTGTTGTATTGCTCTAACGGTTAGGAAGTTTTTCCTGATATTAAACCAAAATCTGGCTTCCTCTAACTTAAGCCCATTGTTGCGTGTACTGCACTCTGTGATGAAGGAGAACAGATCCTGACAAATCTTGTCAGGAAACTGAAGGCAAGGAAAAACAACAGCTTAGTTCCTACCAAGGATATCTTGGTGGACAGTGTGGTGTATTTTCTCTTCAACAAGGTATTTTCATGATAAATGCTCATAGGTCGTTCCTAACAATAACAGAACATTTGCTAAACATTTCCCACATGAGTGAAAGAAAAGCTCAATATCTTATCTACTCTTTCCAGATCTCTTCTGTATAAAACTGCAGAGAACCACACTGAAGCCGAAAAGCATTTAAACCTTCTCAAGAAAAGGTAATGAGTGCAGGTTACCAAGAAAGATTAGTGGACGTTTGTGCAACATGATTGCAAGAACATGTAGATATGTGAATTCTTTTCAGTTCAGTGAATTTTAATCATTTGTAAGTGTTTTGGGATTGCAGTCTTAATGATTGTCAAATGTGATAATATCCTTCTGGAATTTTAGAGGCTTGATTAGATCTGCCCCCAGTCTCCTCTTATTTCAACTGTTCCTTGCCAGATTTTAATTAGGGCTTAGGACTTAGTAAAATAGCCACAGCTTTATTCCAAATAAAATGTTGTTGTTGTAGGGGTGGCACACTTCAATGTTATGTTTTCTTAAGGTGTTGTATATGAATGCGGTGGCCAGTAATACTGTGCCATCCCTAATAGACAGGATTCCTAAAGATTTTCTTCCTCTTTTCTGGGATTAGTCCTCTCCATGTACAATGCCAAAAAGAAGGAAGGATATTTGTATAGGCTGTTTAGTTTATTTTGAGTAAGCAAGGTTTGTCTAAACTGTAAGATCCTCTTCACTTCTGTTTTAAAAGTCAAAGCCAAGGACCCTTTGGTCCTTCAGAAATGGCTGGTCTTGGTGTGAGTTGATAGCCTACAATACCTACTTGAGCCGTCGACAGTTCACGTAGAAACCGCTTCCAGAAGATGCTGCAAGGCTCCAGTGGGAAGAAAGTTCTAAAGTTGTGGATCATCTGGCAAGATTGTTTCTCTTGCTTTATGCTCTGCCAAACTTTCATGCACATATTATACTGTTAGGAAGACACTCTCGGCTAACTGAGAGTTTGATGTGGGGTACAAGGGAAGAAGCCTGTTATGTACCTGGAACCTATGTTGCGGTGGGTTTTATTGCTCATAATGTGTAAAGGTAATTTTGTCATACAATAACTCATAGTAAATCAGTTGCATTATACTAATCTCTTATGTAATTTCATATTACAATTGTTCCTGCTGCCTTGAACCCAATGTGGCAATCTTGTTTATCACTTTAAGACTTCTCAAAAGTTTGGAGAACCTGCAAGTTCCTATGGAGAAGCAGAGCAGCTTAAAGAATGCGCATAGCTTCCTAGCAAAGGAAAAAACAAAGAGTGCTGCCCTTGAAGATGGTTTGGCAGAACTGCAGGTGAGGAAGAGTTTTGAGTTTTCTGTCAGCCTTTACTTGACATAAAATTGTGAAAAAATAATCAGCTTCAAGGCTAGATAGTTACTTCATGTGATAACTCCATTCAAAATTTTTTCTCTCTGTTCCTTTTCCTCCTTGCCATCTGTTTCTGTTTTGTTAAGGAAGAGCTTTGATGAACTGGAATCTTACTCATCACTTTGTAAAGTTTTGAGTGGTACTAATAACAATATTACACTAATGCTGCAAGATATTCCAAATATTCTTGTTGCTTCAAGCAGCCATGTTGACTTCTGTACTCCTTTTTGAGGGCAGAGGACAAATGTTCTTTGACATAATTTCGTTTGCCATCACTGCACCTGGTTACTGTGTTATTTTCTTTCCATGCTGTGGAACAGGAGAGGGAAAAACTGAAATAAGAAGCAGTATGAGTTAGTATTATAGCAAGTATCATAAAACTAATATTTCCTTCCCAGATTGCATGAGTAATGTAGTTATAACTAAATATTTGTTTCTTTAAGCGATTTCTATACTGTTATTTACATCTGAACCAATAGGTACGGTAAGTTTTCATACAAGTGTCTGTACATCAGGGAGAGCTTTTCAATCTATTCTGTGAGTCAGAAAACATGTGAACTGCAGTGTCTTTCTGGTCTCTGCAGCAGTGGGAATTAGATTGATCCTGCAGAATGTTTGCTATGTGAATAATCCCTTGCTTTAAACTCATTCTTTAACTTTCCTTTCAAACGCAGGATGAAATAGATAAAGTTGTACAAGCAGCAGAATTCAGAGAGGAGACTATTCAGCGTCTCCAGAAAGAAGTACAGGAATTAAAATGTGAGCTGGCAGCAGAGGAAGCAACAGCAAGCAAGGTATCTTGCAAATGGGGGTTGGAATTTTGTCTGGATAAGAAGAAATAGGTTTGCCTCGCTGCCGCACAGGTAGAGGAATGGTTTCCATATCTCACTGACATAGTAATTTGAGAATGGATGTGAATTTATTAGACGTGCTGCTATACAGCATGTACAGGGTTTCTTTGAGACTAAGGCGGTAAGGGGAAAGCCTGAAGCAGTATTTTTTCCCCTAGATAAATTCATGGTGCATATTTTCTCTTTCTCTCTAGCTTTTCTATAAAGATGGTAACCATGGTCTTGCTCTTCCTGATTTCTCGAAAGACAGTCTAAAACTACCTATTCTTCAGGTGAGCAGAGATATGTGTTTCAGAAAGCCTTCTGTCAGAGAGAAAGAAGTTGCTCTTGAACTCCCCTCTTGCAAGGGTATCTTTTCTATTCCAGTGAAAAGCTTTACTTGAATATTTTATTTTTTAAAAATGACAGTATGTGATAATGCCTTTTGGATCACTCTAGAGGCCTAACTTGTTCAGCATTCTATTTACACAGTGGCCAGTCTGTTGCCAATGGGAAGCCTAGAAAGACGATGTGACTATAAAACATCCTTGTATTGTTTCCCCTACTAACTAATATGTTTCTGAAAACCTATCGTAAATTTCAGAAACAACAATTATATGCTGCTGCCTAAACTCCTCCTTCTTGGTTTCTAAGGCTCTGCACTCTTGTAACATGGTGCTATCCTTGGACTCTTGAACTAGTTGATGTTTCTCAGGAATTTGCTCTTTTTTTTAAAAAAAACTGACTGTTCTTAGTATTAATACATCACCAAAATAGATGGGGATGTTTGTTTGTTTATGAATACAATTATCCCTGTCCCAGCTGCTACTCACAAGTGGATGCCCTCTGGAACTGGCCCGTCCACTCATGAGTGGCTGCGCCACCAGCATCTCTCACTTCCCGCCAATCGCAGAAGTAGCTCCTCCACCTCCCTACTTGGCTGGCCACTCCAGGCAGGGGTGGGATGATGAGTCTCCCTGCACGGCTGCTGAGTAGCCAGCTGAGCAGGGAGATGGAGGAACTACTTCTGCAACTGGCGGGAAGAGCAAGCAACTGGCAGCAAGGTGGCACATAAGTGGACATGCTATTTCCCAGAGGCTGGATCCACATTAGTTACAGCTGGGACTGGGATATTTGTATTCATAAATGGATATGAATATCTCCATCTCTAATCACCAACTTTCTGTGTTTTCATATTCTATAGAATGAGCTTTTGAAAATTAAAAACCAGCAAGGTCTTCTTAATGATTTGAATACCCTTCAGAAATCAGAGGAAATGACAACCATGTCAGCTTTTCTGGAAGAAGCATATGAAAATGTGGACTCATTACAAAGTGAAACTGTACGTTGATTTTGGCTGCTGAAGGACAGAGGCATCACCTTTATGTCTTGCCATTTTCACCTTCCAAGTACATGCATAAGGAGGACTCTGGAAGCAATTACTTGTTTTCACAAAATGATTGTGATGTTTCTTTTGTAATTATATATCTTTTCAGATTTTATCCCTACATTTTATTCCATTGTGTTCTCTAGAGACTCAAAATGAATGGAGATGAGCTAGAACAAGCCGGTCTGTTTCTGAAACCATATGTTCTGCTTAGAACTCTTTGGCTATATTCCTCTTGTGCAACAGGTTTATTTGCTGCTGCAGTACACCTCAGCTCTGTTGGCACAAAAAGGTCATTAGCATATATATTCCCATGAAAGAGTATTTTGTAGTTTTAAACTTAATTTCCTTGCATGTTATTTTTCCAGGAGACCAAAGGAATTCCACAGTTTAGATACAGTGCTAAGAACTGTGACTAGCTCCCTGAAGTTGTATTTGCCTCACTCAATGTGTCTAGTTGTTTTTTTCTAAAACAGCAGTACTATTGTTGAAGCATGGATAACCCATGAAGTGGTGGAAATGAAATACAATTCCCATCTTTCTCCATCATTGACCTTTTCCCTCTGAGGACAATAGGAAATGTACTTTCATCTATTATCTCATACAGAAGGAAATACTCCAACTTTGTTTTTGAAGCTGAAAAAGAGGGAGAGGTAGAAGGAATGACTGCTTGCTGCCTCCCAGATAAATCTCCCTCCTTAATGAGGGAGGGGTTGGAAGTGTGCAAAAGGAGGTGAGGTGTGGGAACTTGCTTGAGGTGAGCTTTCCTTCCTGCTTTGATTCTTGCTGAACTACACATCGAGCAGCATCTGAACACCGTTTCTCTTCACACACTTAATACTGAACATTTGGATTTTAATTCACACTTAAGTAGCTCTGAATTAGTTAGGGTTTTGCCCTGAATTTTAAAAGTCAGCAATACATTTTGATTCTAATCCAACAATAATTGCCTCTCCTTTTAAATAACACTAAATCTGATGATTATTGGAGTGAATACCTAAAAGTGGGGAAAACCTGAAATTAAAAGGCTAATGTAGGAGTTGGATGCTATTATTTACTTAGACTACTAGTTAATACCATACCTGGCTCTTTTTAGGTTTAGCAACAGGATTAGTATATTGATATATTTTCTCTGGGTTCTGTATTCTGGTGCGAAGTGCCATTCCGTTTTTTTACTACAAAGCAAAACAGGGATCTTACACATGAGTGTGTTTGCTCTTTCACATCTTTTAAAAGAGACGAGGAGAAAAGAAAAACAAGAGTGGAATTAGAACAGTGACCAACTGTCCTCTGTTTACATGTTAGGGATCTTTCTGTGGCTGTTTGCTTTTTAATGAGGAAAATATACTAATGTCTATGATCCCTAAAAGCATATTTATTTTTGCTGAGCCTGGGACCTTAGAAGCTAGAGCAAAGGAGACTTATTTGGAAGACATAAAATATAACTATAAAGATTCCACTCTTCCCACCAGAGGTTTGGTCTACTTTTCATAGAATGTGTTCATCAGTATAAAAGATTGCAGTTTCATACTTCCTGAATTAGTAGCTTTCATCAGATTGTAAATAGCTATATTTTCCTGTGTATTATATTAAATAAAATCTGATTTGTCATGTATCCTTATTCTGCAGTGGTGCTTTTATACCTGTAGTAGAGAGACAAAATACTAAGAAAAATATATAGGTACCTTGGGGGGAGGTTTCTGTGGCAGGACTTTAAAGATTCTTGAAATGACACCATCTAACGCCTTAATATATAATTGGAAATTACAATATTTCTCACACAATTTTGGTAGGACAATATAATGGGTCTATTTCCATGTTTAACTTTAGCTTATAAAAATCTACCAGGCTAAATTAAATAACTTAGGCATTTAATCACTTTCTATAGACTTTCAAGAATTTTAAGACCGACAAATAGGATCATTCATATAAAAAAAAGTCTTTCTAACTGTTGGTTCGTTTCTGTTCTTCACAATATCTTCTCAAGATTCACAGAACTTGTTTTGCTCTTTGCTTTGAATATGACACAGTCTCAAACAAATGTGTGAAGAACAACTTTTGGAATAATTGGTGCTGCTGGGGTATGTGTGTTGAAACCACAAAAATAACAGGTTGTGAGAGCTCTGAGAAAATTATTTTAAAGATGCAAAAGTCCTCTGTGTCCCATATCATCTTAAGATAATGCTTAGAACTTCTAAATCTGATTAAAGCTGTTCTAATTTAAATTACTTGGTAATGTGAGGTTTTATGGGGGAATTTTCAATGAAGCAATTGTGTATAAGCAATTTATGCCCTACTGTGCATACAGAAGAAGATCTAGCAAATGGCCAAGATAACACTATTGAAGTAGCTTGTCGTTGTCGTTTAGTTGTTCAGTCATGTCCGACTCTTCGTGACCCCATGGACCAGAGCATGCCAGGCCCCCCTGTCTTTCAATGCCTCCCGTAGTTGTGCCAAATTCATGTTGGTTGCTTCGCAGACACTGTCCAGCCATCTCATCCTCTGTCGTCCCCTTCTCTTGACCATCCCACTTTCCTAACATCAAGGTCTTTTCCAAGGAGTCTTCTCATGAGATGGCCAAAGTACTGGAGCCTCAGCTTCAGGATCTGTCCTTCCAGTGAGCACTCAGGGTTGATTTCCTTTAGAATTGATAGGTTTGTTCTCCTTGCAGTCCAGGGGACTCTCAAGAGCCTCCTCCAGCACCACAGTTCAAAGGCATCAATTCCTCGGCGGTCTACTTTATGGTCCAGTTCTCACTTCCATACATTGCTACTGGAAAAACCATAGCTTTGACTATGCAGACCTTTGTTGGCAAGGTGATGTCTCTGCTTTTTAAGATGCTGTCTAGGCTTGTCATCACTTTCCTCCCAAGAAGCAGGCGTCTTTTAATTTCGGAGCTTCTGTCTCCATCTGCAGTGATCATGGAGCCCAAGAAACTAAAATCTGTCACTGCCTCCATATCTTCCCCTTCTATTTGCCAGGACGTGATGGGACTAGTGGCCATGATCTTAGTTTTTTTGATGTTGAGTTTCAGGCCATATTTTTGCACTCTCCTCTTTCACCCTCATTACAAGGTTCTTTAATTCCTCCTAAGTTTCTGCCATCAGAGTGGTATCATCTGCATATCGGAGGTTGTTGATATTTCTTCCGGTAATCTTAATTCCGGCTTGGGATTCCTCCAGTCTAGCCTTCCGCATGATGTATTCTGCATATAAGTCGAATAAGCTGGGGGAACAATATGCAGCCTTGTCGTACTGCTTTCCCAATTTTGAACCAATCAGTTGTTCCATATCCAGTTCTAACTGTTGTTTCCTATCACTCGTATAGATTTCTCAGGAGACAGATAAGGTGGTAAGGTAAGGGTCTAGTGAAGAGGTGGTGGCCCTACAGCAATCGAGCACCTTGTCAACCTTAACTGACATCACAGGCTGAAATGTTGTCAGATTCTCCAGGCAAGGCAGAGCAGTGGACATCTCGGCTTGATCTACTGATAAAGAGTAGGAATCCAAGTCTCAGTGGATGGTCTCCACTTTATTTTTAAAGAAGGCCGCAAATTGGTCACAAGAGATACTACTGAGAGGCCTGTCTTTGTGACCAATCCCGGATGAATCATGCACAATACAAAAATGTTTGGCTTGGAGAGATGGGGGTATTCCTATTCATATATGAATATCCACGCTGGAGCTACCACGGGTCTGGCCCCTGGGGCTGGATCATCCACTCACATGTGTGGCAGCAGTGGCCTCTCTCTTTCTTCCAATTGCTCTGAAGCCCTGCTCAGCTAGCCACTTGGCAGCCTTGAAGGAAAACTCATGTTCCTTCCTTCTGCCAGGAGTGGCTAGCCGACCAGGAAGAGGACGGTGCTTGGGAGTGATTGGAAGGAAGAGAGGGGCTGCTGCCGGCGGATCCTTGTTAACTAGCTGTGCAGGGATATTTGTATACAAATACCCCCGTCTCTAGTCACAAGCTTCACTTATCCAGGAAGTGAAGTAAGATCATCTTGTAATCTTCACTTTAGCTAAGTAGATGTGATTTTTGCAGGTTTTAGATTAGTTTCTTTCGGGTCCCATCTCCAAATGCTCTCTAGCCTCCTCCTATTGTGTTTCATCACATGTAGCTGCTGATTATACCAAGCAGCTGGGCACGTTTGGCAAAGGAGGGGGCAATTGTGCCAGCTGCCCTGGTGGTGGCGGTATACCATCCATCCACCAGAGCTTCAACAAGAGCACCAACTAGCTTAGCCAGTAATACCCATATTGCATCTTGGAAACTGAATGGATCCAATAGCCTCCAGGAGTGGACCATTTTAATGGGTCCCTGCTCCCCACGGGGGGGGGGGGGGGAACGTGCCACAGAAAGGTTGCATTTTATCAGCTGGTGGTTCAACCATGACACGGAGATTGATGTCAAGTTAGTTACCCTTGGATCACTCTCTTCCTGTCCAGTTGAGAATACCAGGTCTAATGTGTGACCAGCTACATGGGTGTAGTACATATATTGTAGCACCAAAAATATGTAAATGAGATGAATTTAGTTTCCTCCCATATAACAATGTAAGTAGTATTTCACCAGTAGTACTGTGTAATGTTCTGTTTAGAATATATACACTAGTCAGAGCAACCTCTGCCCAATGCATTTGAGGTAAGTTAGCATCACTTAACATACATCTTTTTTGTTGCTTCTGGTATTGTGTGACATTTTCAATTACATCATTCTGGTGTTCATGTATGGTGTCTGCTTTGGAAACTTCTTTGCTGAGGGCACTCATCACATCTACCCTGTTTCCCTGAAAATAAGACCTAACCTGAAAACAAGCCCTAGTATGATTTTTCTGGGTGCTCATAATATAAGCCCTACCCCCAAAAGAAGCCCTAGTTAAGTTAAACCCTGCCCTCTACCAGGGACTTATTGTGCAGTAACCAGAAGATGACATGACTGTATTTGAATAAATGTAGATTGTTGTACATGAAAAAAAAATCCCCTGAAAATAAGCACTAATGTTGTTGGGTTTTTTGAGCAAAAATTAATATAAGACCCTGTCTTATTTTCGGGGAAACGCAGCACAGAGAAACTGAAATGAATAATTGCAGCTTGAAAGTATTAAATCTACTGCTACTTCTTAGAACTGATAAGAAAAAAAAAGGCTCTACACACAGTCAATGAATGGAAAATTACTCCAGGTTGTCTGTCTTAGGTTTCTTTGGGTTTAAAATAATATTTGGTCCAGTTCAAAATCAACAGTTTCTGGTGATTCGGATACGATGATCTCCTTTTCAGGGGGAATTTAGTCAGTTCAACTAGATGTTTGGGGGGGGATGTTTCCAGGCACCACATCCCTGAAATATATGATGAGCATATGGTGTATTTTTTAATTGGGTGTTTTGCAGCACAATAATTGTATAGGAGGCAAATATTTTTGTAGATGTTTTACCTGCTTTTAAGTTATAGTCCTCTGAGTATCATATGTCCATTTTGTGCTGAAAAAAAGTTATAGCTTCATTAGAAACAAAATAATTGCAAGATGTGTATATAGTGGAGAAAGTTTTTTATGGTTTTACTCAATGTTATTGCTCTTTGTGTTGTAATTTAGTGTAATTCGGTTTTAATTCATTGTAAATAGCACAGAATAGTACTTCGGTACTAATG